ACGTTTTTTTCTCAGTTTTCCTACGATTTTCTACTGTTTTCATACGTTTTGGGCTGAATTCCTGTAGAAAACAGCAACTTTCTTGTTGTTTTCTCCACGTGGAGCGATAGGAATACTTGGATCTAAGTATTTCCTATCAGATTATTATAATTAATTAGATAAAATTTCTTTCATTTTTTTTTGTTTATTCACCTATAATGTTTATATATGTAATGATTCCAAGGAATAGAATAGAATTTAAATTTCATTCTAAATAATTTCTTCATGGTATCAGAGACTAGGAAAATCCTAAGCCTTTTCTGAGTGCAGGCGGCAAACCTTCCTCCCTTTCTTCCAAATTCTCAACCGACGGTAACTCTCCATCATTTTGTCGATAGCCTCTCTTCAAGCATTGGCATCCCTTGTCCAAAATTCATCTTCTCTTTCTACCGAGGAAACCCAACCATGTTCATGGATAGCGAGATCTCATCCTCCAACCAAAATATTATCGGTTTGAACATTGAAAACTTTGGATCTGCAAAGAACTCTTATCCTCTTCCCAGACCATGGTGTGATCACTGTGCCAAACCAGGACATACAAAGGAGACATGTTGGAAGATTCATGGAAAACCAGTTGATTGGAAGGCAAACAAATCAGCACAAGAAATCAAGGCGAACTTTGTCAACACTACGCAAGATCAATCCATCAAAGCTGAAGCCATTCCTTTCACCAAGGTGCATTTAGAGATGCTGAAGTTGCTGCTTAACAACATCACGAACGAATAGTCTCTAGAACCTGCTACCAACCTACACGCTCACTCAGGTATAAAACAATCAAAACTTTGAGTTATTGACTCAGGAGCATCAAATCATATGATAGGAGACATTATACTCCTTCATGACTATCAATCTTATCATTCAAACCTAGTAGTTAAGATTGCTGATTGCTCAACATCCAAAGTTTTAGGAATGGATTCTGCTTTTGTCACAGAAGTTATCACTCTTAAATTGGTGCTTTTTGTGCTCAATCTTGAGTGCAATCTGATTTCTATTAGTAAATTGACTCATGATAGTAATTGCTTAACAATTTTCTCCAATAATATATGTATTTTTTAGGAATTGGATTCGGAGAAGAAGATTGGTAGTGCTGAGATGTGTTTTGGGTTATATTACATCAAGACACTCAAATTCATACAAACCTTAAATGCTACTTCTAAGAATCCTCCTAAGAATCATCCTATTGTAAGTTAGTTTGTTGAGAGTCATTCTAGAATCAATCAAGATAGAGAGATTATCATGTGACATTATAGGTTAGGCTATTCAAATTTCATGTATCTTGAAAATCTTTTTTCCCATTTATTTATTAATTAAAATCCAAGTTTGTTCAAATGTGAAACTTGCCAATTGGCTAAACATACTAGATCATCTTACCCAATTGTTCATTAATAATCTTCTAAATCCTTTGCCTTGATCCATAGTTATATTTGAGGACTCTTAAGGGTTAAAAAATATAAGTGGAACAAGGTGGTTTTGTGATATTTGTTGATGATCATTCTAAACTCACTTTGGATTTATTTAATGAAGGAAAAATCTAAAGTTGAAAGGATATTCAAATCATTTCAACTGTTGATTCAAAATTAGTTTAATACAAAAATTCAAATATTAAAATCGGACAATGGGAGAGAGTATTTCCATTGTCTCATGAGAGAATACCTATCAAGTCAAGGGATAATCCAAGTGAGTTCATGTGCGTATATGCCTTAACAAAATGGGATAGCTGAGAGGAAAAATAGGCAACTCCTAGAAGTCGCCAGATCTATTATGTTATTCACAAAGTACTAATATATGTAGGGGAAACCCATTCTTACTACTGCATACTTAATAAATAGGTTACTTGCTCGGATACTAAAATTTGAAACACCTAGAGTCCTAGACAAACTCTACTCAAAGCCTATCCTCATGCTCGGTTCATATCATCAAACCTTCCACCTAAAGTTTTTGGGTGCTCTCCCTTTTTTAACAAGTTTTCCCAAGATAAAAAAATGTCTTTATTGACTATTCCCCAACAAAAAAATAGGTCACAAATGCTTTTGCCTTATTTCTAGGAAAGTATTTGAAACCATGGATGTCACCTTCTTTGAAAACAACTCATACTTCACTAGTTTTAAAATTCAGGGGGAGTGTGAAGGAGAATTTCAAACTTGGGAGTGGAATTCCTTATTATACAACCAAACAGAGTCCAGTAAAAATCAACAAATATCACAAGAAATTCAAACCACAAGTATTTCTCAAGGTACATCTCCTATATCTCAAACTCCACCTTCAAACCTATTACCTCCACCCATAAGTCCTAATCTGTCCTTACAAAGAGTAGCAATTAAGGAACAACAATATGCATACTCAAGAAAAAGAAAGAAAATAAGCATATGCCGAGCAGTGAGACACATCTTGCACCTGTCAATTCTACTTCAGTGGATCCAACAAATGTAGAAATTCATACAAAGGAGAAAAATGAAGGAAGTTCAAAAAGAGATAGAGTCATCAAATGACTAGAAAGAATCATGCAACAAGCATCCAATCAAAAACTTTTTCTTCTATAGTAGATTATCAAACACTTATCAAGTCTTCCTTTCTAAGTTGGATGATGTACAGATTCCGACCAATATTTAGGAAGCTTTGAATGACCCAGGATGGAGGCAGACTGTTAAAGAGGAAATTATGTCCTTGGAAAAAAATCAAACATGAGTGATTACAAATCTCCCACCAGGAAAGAAAGGTGTGAATTGCAAATGGATGTTCACTGTAAAACATAAGGTGGATGGTAGTGTTGAGTGGTTGAAAGCTAGACTGGCTGCAAGAGGATTCACTCAGTCATATGGAATAGACTATCAGGAAACTTTTGCTCATGTTGCAATACTCAACACCATCAAGATTCTTCTTTCCTTAGCAGCAAATTTAGATTAGCCCCTACATCAACTAGATATCAAGAATGCATTCTTGAATGGGAACCTGAAAGAAGAAGTATACATGGAGATTCCAATGGGGATTCATAAGTCTTATGGAAGGGATAAAGTGTGTAAAATGTTGAAATCTTTGTATGGATTAAAGCAGTCTTTAAGAATATATTTTGGAAGATTTTTAAAGTATGTAAAAGGCCATGGTTTTAAACAATGCCAAACAGTTCATACCTTGTTTTTGAAGCATTCAAAAAGAGACAAGGTAGCAATACTGATTGTATATGTGGATGAAATCATCCTTACTGGAAATGATATAGAGGAAATAATGAAGATCAAGTATCAAGTAGGCTTTATCCAAGGAGTTTGAAGTTAAAGATCTAGGATCACTTGGATATTTCTTTGATATGGAGGTAGCTCGATCAAGCAAATGTATATTTATTTCCCAACACAAGTATACTGTTAGGCGGGCCCCTCCGGTCCTTACTTACTCTAGTCGGGCCCCACATGGAGTTTAATTCAAGGGTTGGAGGGAAAATTTGAATGGAAGGGGGGGGGATTTGAATAGAAGGGCTGTTTAGGAATTTTGTATGGGGATGAGAGTTAAAGAGGGGGAAAGGGGGGGAATTAGGTTTTCATCTTGAATTTGAATGAAAAGTTGGAGATCTCATTGTGTGCTTGGGCTCTAGGGTTTGCTAGAGACTTGTGGAGAGTTGTTCTTCCTCTCGAATCGAAGAACGTTGTATCTTTCTTTGTTTTTCTTGCATCTACTAGTGGAAACCTTGTTTCTTTTTCGTATTTTTCTCTGTTTGGGTGCATTTTCTGCTGCGGAGCTGCTCTAAAACTGCTGGGGCAGCAGTTTTGCTCACTGTTTTGGGCTGATTTTGACTAGGTTTGCTTGCGAACTCAAGTATTACCTTAGGGTTACTTGCGAACTCAAGTATTTCCTATCATATACCTTAGACCTACTGAAGGAGACCGGCATGCTAGGATGCAGACCAGCTAGTACGCCTGTGGATCATAAGAAGAAAATTGGGATAGAAAAGGAGAGAGTTCCAGTAGATAAAGGAAGAAAGCTTATATACCTCTTCCACGCCCGTCCAAATATTGGATTTACTGTATGGTAAGTCAATATATCAAATCTTGAGGTATCTCATAAATACTCTTGAAAAGGGGTTATTATTCAAGAAAAATGAAGATAGGAAATTGATTCTTTATTCTGATGCAGATTGGACAGAAGTCAGCTTGACAATATATCAACCACAAGATATTGTTCATTTGTGTGGGGGAACCTAGTGATATGGAGAAGCAAGAAACAATATCTTGTTTCTAGAAGCAGTGCATAATCTAAACTGAGAGCATTAACAGTTACTAGTTGTGATGGTATTTGGATCAGACAAGTATCGATTGAACTGGGAATAAAGATTGAAAGCATGATAAAGTTAAAATGTGACAATCAAGCTGTAATCAGTATGACCAAGGATCTAGTACATCACGATAGAACAAAACATGTTACTATTGATAGACAATTTATATATGAGAAAATAGAGAACTCAGAAATTGTAGTATATATCCCCTTAGGGGTGGGGTCCACTTGATAGAGTTATTTGCTTGAGTGTAGTTTAGTCCTTTGGTGTTGATTTTGTGTTTGCTTTAAGTAGGAGTTTGTATTAGGGTTATGACATCTTTTTTGTGACTAATTTCTGAGTTCTCTTTGGTGTCTTGGGCTCTAGCGGCGTCTAGAGAGTTTTGGAGAGATTGATCCTCTTGAATAGAGGATCGTTTGTATCTTGATAATTTTTTTTTTCATATCCTAGCAATCAAGTGTGTTTTTCTTGTGTTTTCATCCCTAAAAATTTAAAAATATGCTTGGTTAATCCTCTGAAAATTTTATTTCAGCCATTATTTCCTGTTTTCCTATTGTTTCCTATCATTTTCTTTCCATTTATAGCTGATTTTCATCTTCTGCTGTATTTTCTTAGCTAACCACGCAAGAGATCTTAGTCCTAGTTCTTGTTAGGTTTTGATTATACTACTTATTTCTTTGCTTTTGGTTTTCTGGTGCAGAGTGTGGCTTATGACAGGTCTAGTGCTCCCAAGGACTGTCGAGTTTCTGGATGGTTTGAAGAACCTGAAGATGACCCATCCGCCAGAATTGATAAGATGTTTGTGCTGACAGATTTCTCCTACGACCTTGAGAAAAGTAATGCACAGACCTTCGCCGTCCCCGTCATTGATTCCGGTATCATCAACATGGTTAGGCTCGACTTCACCTCCAACCATGGCAACTCTGCACTCACCTGCATTTACCGCATCAGGGTGCATGGCTACGAGCCCAGCTCACCTGCAGCTATCACCACACATGCTTGAGTTGCCTAGGAGAGATAGAAGGTACCAAGATTTGTTCTTTTTGTCTTGTTCATGTATTTCATGGGTATATGATAGCTTTCTACAAGCCCAAGTTTTTTACTATGTTATAAAAATCTTTTCAGCTTTATCTCCTATTCTTTTCGAGATCTACTTATGCTCTATTAGGATCAGGAATTTTCTTGCATCATTTGTACTTTTGTGCAAATTGGACACAACAAAACTATCAATAATTTTTGTATATTCTTTTGTGATCTCATATCTTAATGATATATGCTATCACTTGGGATTTCTTGCTTGTGTTTGCTGGGAAAAGCTGTTCAGAATGAGCTGCATTAGAGTACTTTTTTATAAATATAATTTTAATTAATAAGAGATTAATTGAAATAATGAAAAGTTAGAATAGTGGAGGAAATATGTATTAGTTGGGGACTTTAATAATTAGTGTGATTTAATATTTGATATATAGGGGCTGTTTGGTAGCAGGATTTAGGCCAGATTTGAGGTGGATTTGAGCTAAATCCAGCCAAACGGCCTAAAATGCAAACCAAATCTCACGGCAAATGAAAGCCGTCGTAGATGAAAAATTCTCCCTTTTCTTGCTAAATCATGGATTTCCGAATTCCTGGTTTTTTCAGGATTTACGAAATCCTGCTTTTTCCAGGATTTACGAAATCCTCTGGCTCTATTGCCGCGAGAAAGAAGAAACTCCGCTCAAAATTTTCAACCTTCTTAAATCCTGAGTAGAATAGCCAAACAGTCACATAGAATTTAACAGGATTTATCATGAATGTTACCAAACATTTTTCAGTATTTAAACCCCTCAAGATTTCGTTAATCCGGATTTAAAGGATTTTACAAAATCTTACTTAAATGAAATCCAGCGTTCTACCAAACAGCCCCATAATGTGCACTAAAGATTAGAAGGTTCAGCTGAAGTCTGAATACATTTGCTTCAGACTTCTCATAGGAACATAGTGGGCCTTGTCAATATTTAAATAGCATGTTAGCAGTTCATGTTCCCAAGATGGTCCCTCGTGTGTTTAATAGTCTGGATCGGCTATGATGGCACTTAAATAGTCAATTTCAAAATTTTTCAACGCATGTGCATTATGAAGAAATATCTAGATTTGGAGCTAGTTGTTATTTTCCTTAGAAATATTATATGACAACCTACTGGCTTTATTGATTGTGATATAGGTTTCATTTGGAAGAGCTTTTTTAAAGTAGTTTTTTGGTATAGATTTTTTAATTTTTTATTAAAGAATTGCTTTAAGAAACAGTAAGAAAGCCGTCCCAAACGAAATCATAATGCATATGATAAATTGTTGCGAAGGCCAATGCCTAAAATTATCAAATGTTTTGTGTCATGCTTCTCATCATTTTCTGTGATATAATTAACTGCAATAGCTGTTAGATTATAGCCCTTGACATTGTGGAGAAACCCAAAATTGAGCCTAAGAAAAAAAGGGAGGTAAACGAAAGAGAAATAATGCAGTCACTACTATATAGTAACTCTATTCCTGTAGGAGAGCTGTGCTTGTCTTCTTCAATACAAGTTGTAGTTGTTTTTGGCTATTTAGATTTTGTTTGGGACGGCTTTCTTATTGCGTCTTAAAACAGTTTTTTAATAATTTTTGTACTAAAAAGCTGCTTTAAGAAGTTGTAAGAAAGCTGTCTCAAACGAAGTCTTACTTTGTACTTAATAACTTCTGCTATTAATTTTAAGGCAGAGGAATTTGATTTAGCTTTGGCTTTATTTTAATATGTATAAAATAGCTAGCTAATAATATAAGAGTTAATAATTCGATTAAGATCAAATAATTCGTTTGATTTATGGCTCCCTTATGTAGCATTGAAACAGGATAAATTCAGTGTATTTGACAGAAGCAGAATTTAATAAATAAAGTCCCAAAAATAAAAATCTAAAAATAATTGATAAATAAAAAACATAAACCTTTTTAAAAATTATACAGATGTGGCAGAGCGAGGGTAGAGGGATAGGGCGATCCTGGAATTCTTTTCTTGGGAATTCCTGAATATTTACTTCTACGGATTTTTCATCTTGTCTCGGTTCTTCTCTTGCTTTTTCTTGGTGCTTTGGTTACAGGGTTTTTTTTGTGCCATAGGTTTTGCCTCTTTTGATGCCTCTTTTTGTTGCTTGTGAAAGAATGTTGGTATGATCTTATTCTTCTTGAATGTATGTTTGGTTGTTTCAATGACTTGGGCTTCGTTTGAGACGGCTTTTTTACTACTTCTTAAAGCAGCTTTTCTATTACAAAAAATTGACTTGATCATTCAAAAGAAGCTTTAGCAAGTAAAATGTCTACTTAACTCCTGATTTATTTGGAATATTTCGCCTAGTATGTGCAGATGTATCAATGCTATTCTAATCAAGAGGCCTTGAGTTCGGAATTTAAGTATATGATGTGTTGCGTCCTGGAATATTCGCGGTAGTAGAGAAATATAAAATTTAACGTCTTAGCTTTGCACGAAGATCCAGCACACAAGCAGATAAAAGGAGAGGGTGTAGCGTTTATAAGAGACACCAGAGTTTTTTTACGTGGAAACTCCTGAAAATGGGGAAAAACCACGGGGCCTGGAATGAATCCACTATTATTTGCAGTCGATTACAAATGAGGCACTTCCTTGGGGGGAAGGGCTTAGGCTGATGTAGCAAATGTACATATTACATGATGAGAATTAGAAGAAAAAGTATTGAAAGATTGTAGTCTTGTGACGGTGGTCGGAAGGACCATTGTCGGCAGGAGACAAGAGTTAGAAAGACTGTTGTCGGGCAATAGAGGTCGGAAGGACTGTAACAGGCGATGGAGGTCGGAAGGATAATAATCGGCAAGAGACAGATGTCAGAAGATCGTTGTCTTACGATGGAGATCAGAAGGACCGTAGTAGGCGACGAAGGTCGGAAGGACCATAGTCGGCAGGAGACAGAGATTAGAAAGATCGTTGTCTGGCGATGGAGGCCAGAAGGGCCGTAGTACGAGACAGAGGTTAGATGGACCCTAGTTGGTAGAAGATAGGGGTCAGAGAGACCATTGTTTGGCGATGAAGGTCGGAAGGACCATAGTAGGCGATAGAGGTCGGAAGGACCGTAGTCGGCAGGAGACATGGGTTAGAAAGATCGTTGGATGGCGACGGAGGTCGGAAGGACCGTAGTAGGTGATGAAGGTTAGAAGGACCATAGTCGGCAGGAGACAGGGGTCAGAAAGACCGTTGTCTTAAGGCGGTGGTTCGACGGAAGTCTAGACGTTATTCGGTGGTATGGCGGAACTCTGACTTCTGTCGGTGGTCTGGTGAAAGTTCGGACGTCTGACAGTGGTTTGGCAAAACTCCGGCGTTAGTTGGTTGTCCGGCGGAACTCCGGCGTCAGGCAGTGGTTCGGCGGAACAACGACGTCATGTGATGGTCCGGGCGTCAGGTGGTAGTCCGATGGAACTCTGGGCAGTGGTCGAGGAGGCAAGGAGGCTTAGGGGTCCCCTCTCCTTCAAGAGGAAGGAGGGGCTCTATTTATAAATTTATGAGAGTGGCATAGCCCGTAAATAGGAGGAAGATCAAGGGTAAATGATAAGTAGTTTGGATGGACAGCCGATGTTGAATCCCTTGATTGTGAACCGTTCGCTAGCCATTTAAAGGTCTTAATGATGTTGGAATTCCATGATCTTGGGCTCGTTGGATTTGTCTCGTTGAGCCGCTCGATTCGACTATAAGCATGTCATGTTTGGAAACTGTTTGATAATCCATATTGCTGTTTGAACCTTCCAACAACTCTTCGGGTCCTTGTTTAGGACCCATTTGGGCTCGAATTGAGTCAATTTTGGTGTCGTTGGGTTCGTATTTCCGAGACGTTCAGTTCTAATGTAAGTTTGCTAAAATCAAGAGTTCAAATGGTCCCATATTTAATTTTTGAAGTTTCCATTTTGATTTTGCCACGAGCCCGATCAAGATAATTTTTTGATGATGTATCATGATGTGTGTGTCAATGTCTTAATATGGCTCAGATGTCCAAAAAAAAAAAAAACTCAATTGATGATATTTATCACCAGACAACAGCTTTACCGGCCATTAAACGTTTAAACATTTTGTATGCGTCTCTTTTCCTATTCTGCTCCAAAGTTTATTTGAGCCCGGTGGACCTTACTCTCTTTTCTTGAGCAAGAAGTCTTGTAAGATTAGGATTCCTTCTATTGTGTATGCCATTTATGTCCTCAGAGTCTGATATTTATGTCATTTATGAAGATATTATTTTAAGATATTAGTTATATAACTTGAATCTTCTATTAATATGAAATAATAAAAGAGAGATCACCAAACCAACAAGCACTATAATATAATAAATTCATAAAGTATAAGTGCTTCAGATTTCAGACAGGGCATGATGAGAGCAACATCATTTTAATGAATTCCAGCAAAGGCAAATCAATTGCAGATTTTTGTATATCAATTTGTGTGAATCTTTTGATTCATGATTATAAGTTTTTTTGTGCCTCTGGTGCCCCCATTCTAGATCTCCCAATGATTGCGGATTTTCTTTAGGGAGCTACACCGCACTAAGAAATTTATTATAAAAATTTAGGAGAAATAGTTTAGATCTTTTGTGTCTCTTCTCTCTCTTGTATCATGCTACTCACAGAATAGACAAAGAGATGCACTTCGATAACTCCAAGGGACTTTTCAAGTTGAACACAAGAAATGAAAAAGAAACTGCCCAACCCGACTCGTAGCGCCTCAAAGCCAAGTTTGGAGCATCGTGATACTGCACTTTATGTTTCCAATTTGATTGACAGCACCGCAACGCTCTGCTCTCTGTCTGTTTCCAGCCAATTATATAGCGCCACAGCATTTAGATACACAGTGCCGCAATGCTATACGGTTGTACGGAAAACCTTTTTTTGGAGGACCTCTACAACTCCATGGCGAGCTTGACTAATGGAATTAAGATTCAAGATAATAGTACATGCCAATTAATCAATAAAATGAGATTCCACACACAACTAACAAAAAGACTTAAGTTTATTTAATTATTTTTGACAACCTAACGGTCACAAGATATTTTCTTCAAAATTTGAATTTATTTATTTAGCAAGATATTAATGTTCAAGCTACTTATAGGTAGGTGCTTTTAAGTTTTAACAAAGCAAATTTTTATTACAAAATTAGGCAAATATATTAATGATCAAATTCAATTTTTCTTCCTAACATGAAATGGGGTCCACATTTTTTCTCACATGAATGGTTCATAAAGCTGTGACCTCCACAAAGAGAAAAATCATAAAGTTTCTTGATAGAGGAACACGTGTTCCATTGCTCATCTAGCATAGTTTTTGTGTTAGATTTCCTTCTCACCAACTCCAATCCATAATCAAATGTTTTGAAAACATTGAATTTTGATTTCACTAGTTTTAAGATTCAGGATTTGTTTGGAATGGCTGTAGTTGTTTATAAAATATGTTTTGAATTTATCATCGAAAAAAAAGATTAACTATTTTGATTATAAAAATCAGCTTTTTATCGTAAAATGTTTTAAAAATAGTAGGAAAGCAGCATAGTTACAAATTAAAATTGTGGTTGATGGCAGCGAGAAAACTACCCCAAACAGGAGAAATTATTATGTGCAGTCACCAGACTGTCAGGAGGCCAATTAGGATGCGCCACATCACCCGGTACACAATAAAAAAGTGATGTGACACGTCCTGATTTGCCTCTGAACACATCCGGTGACTGCATATAATAAATTCTCCCCCAGCAGACCCTCAGTGTTGATTAGTTCATCCTAACAATGCTTCAATAATTTGCCAATATATATGATCAATTCTGTTTTGAATTTTTTTTGTAGCTTTTATAATATTTCAAATAGTTGTGGATCCAATAATTTAATATCATTTTTATTATAATAGTTATTTAAATAAAAAATTACTCCTAAGGAGCATTTTGCTTGAGCTTGACTAGTTACACTCCTATGGAGGGCCACATAACGTTGGAATGTGGCTATTTCTTTAAGTAAGACACTCATATCAAACAAAAAAAGAAAAGAAAAACAATAGGGAAAAGTATAAGGAAAGAAAGAAAGAAAATAACCTCCATTACCGTTGCATAAGAGTGGGAGTTAGAAAAGAAGAATCCTTTCCAATTCTCCAACAAACTCTATTTCTTAGAACTAAAGCCTTCATTACCGTTTGGAATATTCGAAGGCAAGTTTTCAATCAACATTGATCATAACAAAGGCTTTAACAATGAGAGCTCCGCATTGGATATCGTATGCCTATAGCCTCATGGGTGAGTACACAACATCGGGGGATAAATAGATTTACATTACTAATCACTGTACGTCATATATTACCTTAATTCTCATTACACAGTGCGTAGTACTGAACCGTGCTTCGGCCATGGTAAATTCTGATATGCGGCTTGTAGCCTTGAAATTTTGCAGTCAGAGCAAAGCGCAACAAGTCTTAATTCCATCAGTCTGTGACAGATTGCGGTAAAAAAATGTGAAAAGTGGGTGGGAATGATATCCCGAAAGTCATCATGGGTGGCGTGGGTAGACGAAGCCCGCTTGCGCAGAGCGTGGGTACTCAACCAGACCCCATATAAAGGTTTGTTTACATTGAAGTTTTTTTCCTAGCTTCATTGGATTATCTTTAGAGCTCTTAGGGTTTTCTTCCAATATGTATGATTCTAGGATGTCATCTTACTAATTTTCTAATTTTAAATAAAAAAAAAATAGTCTAATTATTACATGATTTGAGATAATTATAATTCTTTAAAATATTTTAATTTAATATTAACTAATATAATTTGTATGACATTACTTTTAAAATTAAAATAAATTATTTAAACAAATTAAATAGAAATGTTTTTTTTTTTAATTTAAATATGAGTCATATATTTTTAAAAATTTAAATTCAAATAAAAAGATTTAAATATTAAATTTAACATCATTATTTTTAAATTAATATGAATTTAGATTCAAATTTCTATTTATAAAAAATTCAATTATTTTATTTAATAGGTAATTCATATGTATCTTATTTTATTTAGTGTTGATTAATTTTTTGCTTTTAAGTTTTAACACTATTTTGGCCATTTTCATTTTCCTCCGTTATTTTTTTTTTTAAAGCAAACGTAACGGTTTTAACTAAGTAGACGCCGACATCTAACGGCGTCTATTGTCACCCATTTTCCGGTAATTCGGGGAAGAGCGAATTGGTATATCAAAAATTTCGGTGATAAAATAATGAAGGGATAAGCTCTCTGAGTCTCGGACAGCTTAAAGGGCGGGCACCTCAGGGCTCAGACTGGCATCAAAACCCTAGCTTTTAACCGAGGCACCTTCCGGCTCGTGCCAAAACCCTAGCTTTTTCTCTAGAATCTCTCGTTCCCTACTGCAATGACTTTGGCCATCTTTTCCAGGGAAGGCCTTACAGCGTAATTCCTTCTTTGTTCGGAAGAAATTTCTAGGGTTTCTGTAGTTTTCAACTGATTTACGGTAACTGCATTTGGTTTCACTGCTAAAGATGGCTTCTTGGAAGAGGAACTACCTGCTTCTTCGTCTCTGATTAAGGTTTGTTTTCTTTTTTCTGGAATGAAACTCGTCGGCCGGATTCTTGTCTGCTTTCTAAGGTTCAGATTTAAAGTTCTCTTTTAATGCACCCAAAGTAACAAAAACTATTTTTTTCTGTTTTTCTTCATGTTCTTAGGGAAAGAGATCACTGAATCTATAGAAATTAGTGACAAGGCATACCGCTCCATCCAAACTCCACTCCAGCCTTGAAATCAAAGCTTTTTTACATCAAAAAATGCAATCGAAATCTCGAATCCATGCTGATCCACCTCTCCACAATGATCAATTTGATCGGATCCCAGACTCCCTTGTCCTCCTAATCCTTAACAAGGTCGCTGATGTTCGCGCCCTTGGTCGCTGCTCTGCTGTCTCAAAAAGATTCAATTTCCTTGTTCCTCATGTCCATGATGTCTACGTCAAGATCGACCGCGTTGTAACCGTGGATGGTGATCCCTCAGATGAATCCCTAAACCTCGCATCCCCGAAGCCTCGCAACCTCTTCTCCCACCTCTTTAAGCTCATGCTCCTCACCATCTTGAAACCCTTCCAACATCTCCGAAACACAAGCAGCGGAAACAAACCCCTTCTCCCTCAGCTTTCACATCATTCCCCTGCCCAAGTCCTCAAGAACTTCACCCAAATTCGCAACCTCCAGATTGAACTCCCCGCCGGCGATGTCGGCACCGAGGATGGAGTGCTCCTCAGATGGCGGGCTGAGTTTGGGAGCACGCTTCAGAATTGTGTGATTCTAGGAGGAACTCCTATTGATCGAAAGAGTAATGTTATTGATCAGGATCCATTGCCTGTGGCTGAAGAAAATGGGAGCATACCCGAGTCATTCTACTCCAATGGTGGGCTAAAGCTGCGAGTCGTTTGGACAATTAGCTCCTTAATTGCAGCTTCAACAAGACATTATCTCCTTCGGCCGATCATTAAGAACCACCCAACACTGAGAACCTTGGTTCTGACTGATTCTGATGGGCAGGGCACACTGAGCATGGGCACCGAGCAGCTGAGGGAGTTTAGGGAGAAGCCATTAGCAGCTTCAGCTTCGACTAATCGGACTCAAGTTCCAGCATCGAATATGAAGCTGAGGTATGCACCATACCTCGAGCTTCCTGAAGGTATAGGGATGCAAGGAGCAACTTTGGTGGCGATTAGGCCTTCAGGTGAGGGAAGCGGCGGTGGCGGCGGTGGGAATAATGGCAATGGCAGGAAGGAAGCTGAGAACTTTCTGAATGGCTCATTCGATGGTCCTTTCAGAGCTGCCGTGAAGATGCTTGTGAAGCGCAAGACTTACCTCTTAGAGATGAATGGATTCTAAATCTTCCAGAATTTTGTTTTGGAACAGAAGATGGTCATTTACAGCTTCAATAGGTGGAGCATCTATTCCAACCTTTATCACAAATAAATATTTCTTTGCTTCACTTTTATGTGTACAGGAATAAAATGTTGAATCTTTAACTTATATGAGGTAGATGAAGCATGGAATCTATAAGTGATTTTACTTGGCTTTGAGTACATGGTGGGTTGCTGTTTTAATGCAGTGCTTTATCATTTCTAGTAAGAAGATCTAGCAGATTTGTGTCTCTTCACAGTTTCTGCTCTTAAAGTTCCTTCTTTTTGGGGGAGATTATTACGTGCGGATTCCGGATACAGAGGACTCTTCGGTTTTGTGACTGTGAACATTAAAAATGCAGTTAATGTTCACCGCTGCGTTTTTACTGTTCACAATCACAAAAATCGAACGGTTCTTTATGTTCAAACTTCGCATGTAATAATCTCTCGTTTTGATACTCTTCTTAGAATGTTTTTTTTTTTCCTTTTTTGAGAAGGTTGGGTGAGCTAGGGGTGTGAACAAACAGAGCTTGATTGATTAGGTTTTATTTGGAATAATTTTATTACTGTTTTGCTCTAAAATTTATGTTTTACAATTATTTTTTTCTCTGTTTTCAAGAAATTTGTGTGTTAGGAATCTATCTTTAACAATAATTTTAAAAAGAAATTATTTTTCCCATAATAATTTTATAAGCAGCTTTACGATAAGCTACAATGATCTTGACGACTATCTTTTGAATGAGTCGGCTCACATGTTGATGGATTGAATCGGTCTAGCTCTGACTAATGAGTTATTTATCGAGCTAGCTCACGAGCCTGCTTGACCCAATTAAGTTGCTAGGGTATGCTATTGAAAGTGGTATAAAATATTTGTTGAGAGCTACCTAAAATTTGACAGGCAGGGCCGCTCACCCTGCTATTAAATTATTTTCAAACTTAGAAGAAATTTATAATGCTGTTAGTTCAGTCATGATGTTGATATTTTCATGCTGGTGAATTTACATGATTTTTATGTCTTGACTCTTGACATTTTATTATAATTTTATGTAAAAAGAAATTTTTTGGTAAATATTAGGAAAAAAATTGGGCCTGAATATTATAAACTTTTAATCCTTAAATTTAATATTAGGTGAATATACTTAAAAAGTTTAGTTAATTGATTATGTAATATATTTTTGTGAAAATAAATATAATGATTATAAATATTTTTAAAAATTTTATCTTATTATTTTTTCTCCTTCAAAAAAGTCTTGTTATAGGTTTGCAATAGAATTAAAACTTATGATCTTCAAGAATTAGTTAAATAAGATTTATATTTTCTTTTTATTCAAAAATATAATAATAATAATAATAATAATAATAATAATAATAATGTGTTTGAGCATTCACTGATGCAGAGAGATATAGAATTCAAAATCTTAACTTCGTATAAATATTCAACACATGAGAAATTATTTGGTGCAGAGTCTAGACATAGTTTTGCGTCTGGACTCCAATTAAAACTTGACACGTCGGTGTTCAATTTGATATTGTTTATTATTTATACTTTCTCAGTAGCAGACTTTTATGTCTCGTCAGCAAGTCCGACCCAACCCATGACCCCAAAAATTTGAATTCGCAGTCAGGAGTTCAAAAGACACGAAAGCTAAGTCGTTTTACTTTTCACCGAGCATTTTTCACTGCGCTTTCTCTCTCTCTCTCGTTTGGTCCAGTCGCTGTTCTTCCAATCCTTCAACATTCCAGGAGATCGCATTTCAGCCATTGCAAAGTTCTTCTCCTTCACAAACAAGTACAACTTGCCACGCCTTTGCTGCGCTTTCATGATATTAATTATCATTGCTATGTCTCAACCTTTCGAAATATTTGAGACTCATTTGTCAAAATAATTCACAAAGATGTTGATGATATTTTGAGAATTTTAAATAATCATAAATTACTATATCATTCCATCAAGGATTGATTACCATAATCTCCCCCCAAAAATACTCTACAATAATTTGATCATAAAAAAATTACAAATAAATCCATTTTCTTACACTTAATAAAATAGTTAAGAAATAATAAAAAAAAAAAATAGAGAAATGGTGATCCGTCAACCAACAAAAGTAGGTAGAAGCTTGATTGATACTTTAAATACGCATGACATAAATTTGTTTTGACAACCAATAAAAAGAGAATTGTTTTTGCGAATATTTAATATTATCACAACAAGTAGAAATTAAAAAGTAGTTGAATTTCTTCCATTTGTTCGCACACAATTAAGACATATATTATAAGGTGGTGATCTGTACATTCTGTCACATTTTTTTTATTGTTGTAAATAATTAAATAAATTAAAAAAAATAATTTAATAATGTATTTCTCTAAATTTTCATATTTATTGATATGACACATAATCACTTGTAATTATTAGTATATAGATTCATTCTTTTTACTCTTAAGCTTCATTTGGGACGGTTTTCTTACTGCTTATTGAAGCAGCTTATTAGTTAATTTTGTACTAAAAAGCTGTTTCAAGAAGCAGTAAGAAAACCGTCCCAAGTGAAGCCTTAGTAATATAGCTCACTGATATTAATTTAAAATAATATTTCATTTGATGGGTACAAGACATAATAAATTTATATGAAAACTATGAATTTTTATTTCACCATATATATATGTTACAAGAGTCTACTCTTCGCTTTAATTGGAGAGAGGGTTTATAAAGTATGTAATACGCGTTTGTATCACAATGAATATGAGGGAGAATGTTAAAGATACAACAGTTGGTGGTTTTAATCGAGTGAAGATGATGGGATGACAGCAGCATGGTATGATAGTTTGACAATGATGATTCGTTGATAATAGTTAGAAGACATTGGTTGGATCACAGAGAGTGGACTATGATAATTGAGCAATGGTGGACAAAATGATAATTGTTAGGAGTTGACGATCAGTTGATGATCAGACAATGGCAGTTAGGTGATGACACTGGCTAGTGCTGATTGAAGTCATATGTCAATTAGATTTCTAAAGCCCTTCAGATCTTCAAGCTCTCTCCAAGCTCAAGTATGTGTCACTTTTGTGTAGAGAATGATATTTATTTATAGTTATTTAATGTCATTTTTAGTAAATTTAAGCTAAGTTTCAATAATGTTTTATCAGAGGGCTCATATTAAATCTTTTAATTATACATAGTTCATTTTGAATTTAAATGCCTTGGTAACCTCAAAAACTAATGATTTTGGATTTGTTGGATTTGTCTCGTTGAGCAACAACTCTATTTGACTATAAGCACGTAAAATTTGCAAATTGCCTAAGTTTTCAACTTTTTATCAAAAGCTTAATTTGAGCTTATTTGACTATAGAAGTTTGACGAATGTCTAGCGACGGACAGAGGTCGGTGATGGACGAAAGTCCGATGTTAGATAGAAGTCCGACGACGGTTAGAAGTTCAGCGTAAATCGGTGGACAAGCAAAAGTCCGACATCAATCAGTGGACTGGGGGAAGTTTGACATCAATCGTTGGCCGAGCAGAAATCTGGCGATAGTTGATGGCCGGGCGGAAGTCCAACATCAGTTAAGGAATTTAGAGTTGTTGAGGAGTTGAGGTCTTTGAGATGTTATGAGGGATGTATAGGAATACTTAAAGAAAGTTTGAAGAGGTTGCTGTTATGTTGGGGTAAAAGGAAGCTAGCATTGGAGCTATGTTGATGACATGAGAATTATATTAGGTAAGAGGGGAAGTAAGGGTGGAAAAAGATTACTGAGGATTTACTAAATTTTAAAGCAGTCACCAAGACTTTTTTGCATAAAATTTGCACAATCAAAAAATAAATTTTATTTAATTAATCTAAAAGCATATGATAATGCCATATTTGTAGGTACTTTTCAAGCTTATAAAACTTCGGAAAGTTATAAAAGCAGATAGAATTCTAGCTTCAGCTTGAGCTTGATTCAAGTATTTCTTGCCGAGCTCAAGTTTAATTCGTTTAAAATTATGACAAGTTGAACTCGATTTGATCTTAACTAATTAGCTAACCAAATGAGACTTATCGAGCTTATTAATAAGCACCACTATCAAAAAGCTTATTCGTTAACTATAACAAATCTTATCGAGTGTATTAATTAGTAATCTATTGAGATTAAAATTATGATAAGTTGAACTTGATTTGAGCTTGACTAATTAACTAACAAAATCAGCCTTATCAAGCTTATTAATCAACAACACTATCAAAAAGCTTATTCGTTAACTATAACAAACCTTATCAAGACTATTAATTAGTAATATATTGAGATTAAAATTAAGATTTTTATTAAAAAAACTATAAAATATGTAAACATTCTAATGAATATAAGCAAAGTATATGGTCATAAATAATAATAACTTAATATAAAAAAGAAAAAAAAATTATATGATTACATGCTGAATAAATTTATGATCTAACTTAATATAAAAAAGAAAAAAAAATTATATGATTATATGATTACATGCAAATATTATTGATGATTATAATTAATTGAATTCTAAGCCATTAAATTTGTTCATGGATTAAGCTCTCACTAAGCTAGTTCAATGGATTCATTTGCAACCCTCAGGGTCAAATTATTGCATCCGGTCATTGGACGCGGAGAATAGGTTCGGACATCCAATAAAAATTTGCTGCGTCACCTGCACTTTTGACTACACTTTAGGTGCGCTTTAACTCGCTTTAGGTGTGCTTTGCTGCGCTTTACCTGCGCTTTGCTTGCGCTTAGCCGCGCTTAATTTAAAATAATATTTTATTAATATCCGGACCTATCTCGAAGTCCGATGACCGGATGCAATAATTTGCCCTGAGCTCAGGATAGTTCTGCAATTTTACGATTTATTATTTTGCAGAAGCGGACATATCGAGGAATATACGGTTCTTCTCCGGCGGCATCCTCGCAAAATTCTCTCTTTCTCACCAAAATCCCCCAAAAATCTAAATTTTCTTATCTAGTTTTATTTATTTTTTCCTTTCTCTGCGATACAAATTGGTTCATTTGTTTTTTTCTTCATCCTATTTCTTCAGTCCTTTTTACCTATACCTTTCCTTCTTTAGAGCTCTCACACTATCTACTCTCCCGCGACGGTGTTGATTTGGGCAACTGTAGAAATCGAGGGGAGATCTCATCATCTTCTACTGGGAAAGGTGTGTGCTTTTTGACATGTTTGTGATTCATATTTCCAAGGTCTTGATTCGATTTATTTCATGGTTTTGTATGTGTAAAAGCATCTTAGGTTTCCTCCACTCGAGCTGATGTTCTTTTCTATTTTGGAATTAGATTTAATTCGAATTCAAATCACAAAGAGCAATAAACGAAAAAAAAAGAAAATGTAAACAATATCAAGAGTTTTTATACAAATTAGCCAATTGATGTCTACTTTCTATTCCTGCTGCTGAAGTTTTCACTTTACAAGACAAATGTAATGGTGTTTAACATGAAGCATTAATTATTCTCCATAGCTTAATATTTTATATGTTATTAACTTATGTGAAAGGAAGCACTGATGCATATTGAGGAAGTAGTCCAAAGTTTAGAAATTTTATGCCCCAATGTATCTATTAGCTTGATAGCTTTTGTTTATTTCTTTTTAGCTTTGTGAGAAGAAATAAGGATGATTTTAAGAATGTGATTTGATCAGTCTTTTATCATTGCTATAGTAATTTAAGGGAACCAACTTACAACATATGGGTTTTCTCAAGATTGAAGTTAACTTTCTCTGACATTTAAATAAATGTCAAAAGGGGACTTGCAATCACCAGTGTTGTCATTTTAATTCGTCAATGGTTGCGTCAAGATCAATTTGCAATTCATTAGGTTAAGCTTGACTGATTATGGAAAAAGAAATGAGTTCCTTATTGAGAATGATGATGATAGAGATGCACCCCCATTGTGAGAAAATTATAGGGGAAAGCCTCCATACAATTGAGCTTCATTTTTTGATATATTCAAAACCACCAGTGTTTAGCCGAATTCCAAATTATCACAATTCGACTTTACTTGCCCTTATAATTGGCCATTGCCCCTCGATCGCTGACCGTAGACTGGCACCGCCTTCACCTTTGGTCGCTGACTACCATCGCCGCCACCCATCGCCAGTCATCAACCACACCCATTGTTAGGCTTTATACTACATTCGTTTTACTTTAAAAGAAAATTACATATATTTGTTTTACATTCATCCATACAACTTTAAATATTTCAAATACATTGTATTCATTTTGCACTATATTTCATTTTCATCAAAACAAGCAATCACTTAATTTATTAATATCTTCTAATTTCTCATTATTTTGTAATTGCATTGCTGAAAATCTAAAAATTTGATGCAAGATTCTCATTGTCATATTTCACAACAATATATTGCTGCATGTTAAATGTCATCATTAATGTTGAAATTAGTAATGGAAAGTTAGTTTCCAAATTGAAGGTAGAAAAGCTAGTGTGTAGTTGTCTGGTTAACTTACTATTTGCATACCAAAAACATGGACACTTTGATTGTACCAAAGCTTTTATCCAAAATTTTAGCCATAGCTTTTTTGAGTGTTTTTCTTAGAAGTGCTTCCAAGCTTTTGGCAAGGGTCGGATGTAGATTTTTTAAAGCACCACTCTACTTGTGTGGGGGAATATGTGACAACTAATTCAAATACTGAGAGCAAAAATTATGCATCTAAGACAATATGTATCAACATACTTTATCAGCTGTTTTGCAATTAACCAAGTTGTATTTTGCAGTTCATTGCTTATAAATTATGTACTGAAAAACCAACATCAGAATGGCACATTTACTTTCAGCTTCTTGTGCTGTAAACCTGCCTCCAGCAATAAAAACCTATTTTAGACCACGAAATAAGCATACAACAAGCTGTTCATCGTCGTTTGTAAGCCGTACATCTCCAATCTTCTCATCATATAGGAGAACACTTCAAGAACCAAATTTTGTGTATGCTACTGCTACTCCTTTAAGCAAAGAGCTCGAACACATTCCGAAATCCGGATCTTCAACAAATTCAAATGGCCCAATATCCAAACCCAGAAGGGTGATGGTTATTGGTGGTGATGGATTTTGTGGTTGGGCTACTTCTCTCCACCTTTCAAATAAAAACTATGAGGTTGCTGTAGTTGATAGTCTAGTCCGTCGATTATTTGATCATCAGCTTGGTATCGACTCTCTTACCCCAATATCTTCCATACAAAATCGAATCCGTCGATGGAAAGCGCTTACTGGCAAAACTATGCAGTTATACATTGGTGACATTTGTGATTTTGAATTCCTCTCTGAAGCTTTTAAATCTTTTGAGCCTGATGTGGTTGTGCACTTTGGTGAGCAAAGATCTGCACCATATTCCATGATAGATCGATCAAGAGCAGTGTTCACACAGCATAACAATGTAATTGGAACTCTAAATGTTCTCTTTGCCATCAAAGAGTTCAGTGAGGAATGCCACCTTGTGAAACTTGGGACTATGGGGGAATATGGTACTCCAAATATTGATATTGAAGAAGGTTATTTAACAATCACCCACAATGGAAGAACCGATACTTTGCCTTATCCTAAACAAGCAAGCTCTTTTTATCACCTGAGCAAGGTTCATGATTCACATAACATAGCATTTACATGTAAGGCATGGGGAATCAGAGCTACAGACTTGAACCAAGGTGTGGTTTATGGAGTAAGGACTGATGAAACTACACTGCATGAGGAGCTCTGCAATAGATTTGACTATGATGGTGTGTTTGGAACAGCTTTGAATAGGTTTTGTGTTCAAGCTGCTGTCGGGCACCCACTTACTGTTTATGGCAAGGGTGGTCAAGTAAGTATTTGGATTACTTAATATGTTCTGAGGTTTTCACTTTTATATATCTTATATAGTTTTGCTAACAAGTTCTGTAAGAGCATTTATTTAGAACCATTGCATATGCATCTGAGGTGGAGAGAGCCCATGAATCATGAATGAAACATTCAATACTTCCATGATTAACAAACGATAATTTTTTATAAGTATTTCTTTTTCTAAGTCATTTATTGGGTGTTTAAAAAGATAAACAGATGTTTAATACCCTTAACAGCTGCGCTCTGAGTGTTTATTAGCTAAACATATATCTTAAAAATGCCATATTAGTTACTGCTAATGTTAAATTAATATGTATATCGAGAAAATATTATATTTGTTTTTGGACATTCTGCTCATCTGATTCTATCAGAAACTTTTTGAGTATGGGATATTATCATAAAATACTATTCTAGATTTCATTAATTGTAAGTTGATGAAGCATCAGTTGCTATTGAGGGCATCTCCAACCAAAAAACCCATTTTACACTCTAAAATGTAGTAAAACTTCAAATGACGTAATTCATCTCCAATCAAACTTCATTTCTCTCCTCTTTCGGGCGCTTTTTGCGAATGTATCCATCTCTCTTCTCTTTCGCGTGTTTTTCTCCTCTTTCCTGCTCTTCTTCGACAAATTTGTAAGCCAGGTTTTTTTTGTGTAGGTGAACAGTCCAACGTCAATATTGGCGTCGCACTGTTCACCTACCAAATTTTGGCATGAGATTTGGAGTTCGAATGCAGCGAATGGCAGACTGCATACAGTGGTATGCAGTTCGGTTGGAGATGATCTTAGAGTTGAAATGCCTTTGGTTGTCTTTTTAAGATTGCGACACTTCCATATTTGCAATTTCTCCCTATACATTATGGATCTTTATCACATTTTTATTGCTTAAAAATATTTTGGCCTTAAGTTATAAAATTAAGAGGTTTGAGTGCAAATTCAGTCACCCAATCATACAACTAAGTGAGGTAGGCCATGCCCCAATGCCCCCACCCTATATCCACCTTTAAATTGCTCACTAATATTTCATGATAACTAGTTTCCCTGCATATGTACCAATTATTTCTTCTACCATTTCGTTGAAGACGTGGTCATAACCAGAGATTTGAATCAAGATGATCAATAACAACTATGAACTCTGCAACTTCTAGCTTCCTTTTGCAGAAACATGTAGAATATTAAGGCTTTGTTTGAGACAATTTTCTTTCTGCTTCTTAAAGTAGCTTTTCAGTACAAATTTTTTTAATTTTATACTAAAAAGCTGCTTTGAGAAGCAGAAAGAAAATCATCTCAAACAAAGCCTAAGTCTAATATTAACTGTTCTGATGATTGCTCTTCTTATATCCTGCAGACTCGTGGTTACTTAGATATAAGAGACACAGTTCAGTGTGTAGAACTTGCTATTGCAAATCCAGCCAAACCTGGCGAATTCCGAGTCTTCAATCAATTCACGGAGCAGTTCTCTGTCAATGATCTTGCAGGTCTTGTAACCAAAGCTGGCAAGAAGCTTGGCCTTGAAGTGCAGACTATTTCTGTGCCAAATCCTCGAGTTGAAGCTGAAGAACACTACTACAATGCTAAACACAGAAAGCTTATTGAATTAGGACTCAAGCCACACGTTCTCTCTGATTCTCTTTTAGATTCTTTGCTTAATGTTGCAATCCAGTTCAAGGATAGAGTTGATCATTCACAAATAATGCCAAATATTTCATGGAAGAAGATAGGAGTAAAGCCTAGAACAGCTCCAGTTCAGTTATGATGAAGGGGAAGGTATTAGCAAATGTAATAAAGTAGTATGATGTCAATATTATAAAAGTTGACATTTTGTATGCCATATTTCTTAACTTAAGATGTCTGGAATGTGTTTCAACTGTTCTTGTACTGAGATCAGGATATAGAACTTGTGCTTTCACCTCCAACTATATTTTTAAGTGAGAAATGAACTTTCTTCTGTCAAATAGATTTGTCCGAAGAGTAGTTAGCTGCTGGGTTTCTGCTTCACCTAACTTCAAATGTAATCAACTGTATGAATTAGGAGAGATTATTTTATGCGGATATCGAACGCAGGTCAGCATATAAACCAAATCTACCATATTTTATTTGGGACAACTTAGCAATCAGAATTTTATTTGGTTATTACTTTTTTCATGCCTTCTCACCATTTTTTAGAAATTTGTATGCTAGAAAATTGAGTATTGCAACAATAGCAGTCAAGTTATTTTCCTCATAGCAACTTTACAACAACTTTTTAAAACGTTGCAGCTGCCTCAAATAAACCCTAAATCTTAAAAAAAAAATAAAATTTTTGTTCAATATTATTCCCTGCTTTGTTTGAAACTGCTTTCTTACTGCTTCTTAAAACAATTTTTTAGTATAAAAACTTTAATTATTGTACTAAAAAGTTACTTTAAGAAACAATAGAAATAATTGGAAGACCATCAACCATACTGAGCGGTACCGAATAGTGCCGAGCCGGATATCAAGCAGGTGGTGATGCGGCGCATTTTGATTAGTCTCCAGATGATGTTCGGCATCCGTACAAAATAATTTTATCTAAATTAGAGGACTTGATAAGGTTAAAGAAAGTATTAGGGGACAGAGGGAAAAGAGAGGAAAAGAAAAGGGCTGAGTAGAGAGTGGAGGAGCTTGAAGTATTCTTCAAAGGTGATAAGATATTTTATAAAATTAGTTCTAAAGTATTGTGAGGAAAATAGTTTAATTACTCTGATTATAAAAAAAAGTTTTCCATCAAAAAATTTATGATTAGTGAGATGGTTGTTTGAAAAATAAAACAGTAATAAAGTTGTCCCAAATATATCTTAAGTTGGCTAGCTAATCACATATAGTGAGGCTGCAAAACTACCACCATATCAACTAAATCTACCATATTTTATTTGGGACAACTTAGCAATCATAATTTTATTTGATTATTACTTTCTTCATGCCTTCTCACTATTTTTTAGAAATTTGTATGCTAGAAAATTGAGTATTGCAACAATAGCAGTCAAGTTATTTTCCTCATAACAACTTTACAACAACTTTTTAAAACGTTGCAGCTGGCTCAAATAAACCCTAAATCTTAAAAAAAAAATAAAAGTTTTGTTCAATATTATTCCTTGTTTTGTTTGAAACTGCTTTCTTACTGCTTCTTAAAGCAGCTTTTTAGTATAAAAACTTTAATTATTTATACTAAAAAATTATTTTAAGAAACAATAGAAACAATAAGAAGGCCGTCCCAAACGAAGCATTAGTTAATTTACGACAACTTTCTCAATTCCTTCTTAGAATTTTTTATAATCAAAATTACTAATTCATGATATTTTTAAGTAATTATTCAATTTAAAAAATGAATATATTTATAATACCCACAATAATTTTTAAGAGAATTATTTTTCTTATATCAATTTTAGGATCACCATTATAAAATAGTGAAATCATTCCATACAGACCCTTATTAAGTTTATAATATTATGAGATGTAAAATACATTTTCACTATAATCAGGCTTTCAGCATCGGGTATTTAGGGTTTCTTCTACCACGCCTATCGTAGAATTTCGTCTAATGCTTCGTCTTCTCCGCCAATTCCCCTTCTCGATCGAGCTCAAACGGTCGTGCACGACAGATCTGCGCCTCCTCCAAAAAAATGTCGCTACGGCCCTAAACCCTTCGATTTCAGACGTCAACGTCTCCTACCTCGTCGGATCATGCGGCCTCTCGCCGTGGGCGGCGCTCAAAGCCGCCAAGAAGTTCACCCTCAAAACCACCGGTAATGCCGATTCCTTCCTGTCCCTCCTTCGATGTCATGGCTTCACACAAAGCCAGATCGCGTCTATAGTCACCAGCTACCCCACGCTGCTCAACTTCAATCCTGAGAAGATTATCAAGCCCAAGCTCGAGTTTTTTCTCAATGCCGGCTTTTCAGCCACTGATTTCACCAAGTTTATCTCCAACGATCCCCACATTCTTAATTTTAGTCTGGAAAAGATGCTCAAGCCCAACTTTCAGATGCTCAAGAGCATCCTGGGCTCTGACAGGGAGGTCGACATCGCCGTTAGGAACTGTTCCCGACTTCTCCGAATTAGATTAGACAAGGTTATGCTGCCCAACATGGAGACCCTACGGGATATTGGAGTTCCACCGCATAATATTGTTAAATTAGCCACCTTTCATCCCAGATCGATGATGAAATGCCCTGCTCAATTCAATGAATCAGTTAATTTGCTTAAGAAAATTGGCTTCGACACCTCTAAGCCTTTGTTTACTTTGGGAATCAATGCTCTTTCTGTGCTTTCTCCATCTTCATGGGCCAAAAAATTGGAGTTTTACAGCAGCTTAGGATGGTCTGAGAAAGATACTTTGACAGCATTCAAGAAGTACCCTTACTGCATGGCTTATTCAGAAGAGAAGATCAAGCAAAATATGGCTTTCTTTGTTGAGAAACTAAAATTTGATCCCTCTTCTGTGGCAGAACGACCAGTTCTACTCTCTTTTAGCTTTGAGAAGAGAGTTTCCCCAAGGTATAAGATCTTCTGTATGTTATCATCCAAAGGATTGACAAAAAAGAATATGGATTTCAGAACATTTTTAATGGTTCCTGAGAAGAAATTCATAAATCAGTATGTTACCAGGTATGCAAACCAAGTACCAGAAATGCTTATTTTATACAAGGATAAGTTAGAATTATTGGAATGTAAGGTAGATCATTGAGTACTGCAATAAAATTTTTCTATGCTCTCCTTTCTTCCCTATGTTTTGTAAGCTTCACCATTGCATCCGCTTGAAATTCAGTCATGGAGAAGACATCTGATTGCTACTGTGTTCAGTAATAGGCTCACCCTCTTCTCTTAACTTCATTCGCATTGCTGAATCACTGCATTTGGGATTTGAACCTTAGGTTTCATTTGGGACGGCTTTTTATTGCTTCTTAAAATAACTTTTTAGTTTAAAAACTAAATTTTTTATACTAAAAAGCTGTTTTAAGAAGCGATAAGAAAGCCGTCCCAAACGAAGCATTAATCAACCAAACATCCTAAAAATCAAGGGCTGCCTGAATTTTGAAATTTGGGATGCAAAGGTGCTCAATTTGTTCTATCTTTTAGATTGAATTTGCAGGAAATTTATCAATAGCTTCATCTAACTAAAAAATTGCTCTTTTTTTTCTGCTGAAATGTGCTGTTATTATTAGTTTACATAGCTTAGATTAAGGTTTCGTTTGGGACGGCTTTTTTATTATTTTTTAAAAGGGAGTTTTAATAAAAATAAAAAAAATTGTACTAAAACTCCGTTTTAAAAAATAATAAAAAAGACTTGGTTACTATTGTTGAAAAGAGATGGCTATTTCAGTAAGCAATCCATGCATGCAAGAGTGGATAATTTCATCTAAATCAAGCTTTCATTTTAATACAAAAATAAAAAAATTTGTACTAAAACTCCGTTTTAAAAAGCAATAAAAAAGACTTGGTTACTATTGTTGAAAAGAGATGGCTATTTCAGTAAGCAATCCATGCATGCAAGAGTGGATAATTTCATCTAAATCAAGCTTTCAATCAAATTACTCTAAGAAAATAAATTGTTGATATATTTTTTATTTCATGTATTATGAAACATAATGTCAAATATTCCATTCTTTTATAATAAAAATGCAAATAACCTTATTCTACCCTAATTGTTTCTAGCATGAAGTTAGAAATAAGCAAATCTAATTCTAGTGGTGCCTTTAGCTCATTTAGAGTCGAATTATAATACTTATTCTTTTTCTTTTACAGATTTTAAAGCTTAATAATTATTTTATCTTCAAAATTTGAATGTGTGAAATAAAAGACTTTGAACTTTGAAAGAGATTTCATTTAAAAAAAAAAATCTCCTATATGTAACTTTTTCAAATATAATCCATACTCTAACATAGCTCTCACATAGGACCCTTATTTTAGGACATGTGGCTAGCTTTATTATACTAATTTTGAATGAGCTTATACTAGAGAGAGAGAGAGAGAGAGAGAGAGAGAGAGAGGGTTTAGCTGAATTCCTTGGCAGGCTCAAAAGAAGATTTTGCCCACATGAAATATACTGCTTTCCAAGCTACTTTATAGTTCTTTACAGTATGGCTGGCTATATAGTAGGAAGCATATATCAGTTTACAATTACTTGATGGGAGACTAAAATAGAAAGGTTCCGATAGGTAAATAACAGAAACAAATGAGAAATATTTAAACTGGCAATAAAAATTCAGTTCTGCAAAGAATTACATAAGTTTCCAAAGCTGATGCAGAGAAAAAAAAATTCCAGCAGGGTTAATTAAGGCTTCATTGGGGACTACTTTCTTACCACTTCTTAAAGCAGTTTTTTAGTATAAAAATTAAGACTTCGTTTGGGACGGCTTTTTTATTGCTTCTTGAAAGGGAGTTTTAGTACAAAAATTTTAATTATTGTGCTAAAACTCTGTTTTAAGAAGCAATGAAAAAGCTGTCCCAAATGAAGCCTAAAGCTGCTTTAAAAACGGTAAGAAAGCCATCCCAAACAAATCCTAAATATTTGAGAAATCATCAAAAAATCCATTCAGTTCAGAATAATTCGAATAAGGAAGCTGAAGGTAATTACAGAATAAATTTTATTAACAGAGAGGCGTGAGGGAACTAATTTTAAACGTAAACATACCTGAAGCATGGCATCAGGAAAAAAATCCTGCCTTTGCAAGATATTTAGGGCCACAGCTACATAAAAGAAGGTCGAAGGTTGAAAAAGCAAGAAAATAATCAGCTAAGCTAGAACAAGTTCATTAATGACTGGCATCCAAAACAAATTAAGATTTTGTTTGGGATAGCTTTTTTACTTCTACTTAAAACATTTTTATAGTAAAAAATTAAAATTTTTATACAAGAAAATTGTTTTAAAAAGCAATAAGAAAGCCGTCCCAAACGAAACTTAAATCATAGGTATCTGATTTGTTAGCCTGAAAGATTTGTTAGTGAGGGAGCCAACTAGCTTTAATTTATCATAATTTTGAAAGTCTTTGCTAAAATCTAGCCTACATCAAATTTGTGCCTTCACACTTATTATTCCAAAAATATGTATATTTTGTTTGCAACAGTACATGCTGCTAAAGATTTGTCTGCCCCAGTGAATAGATGGATCCTGGATGCTTTAAACTAACGACTACCACTCTCATTTTTGTCAGCTATTACATTGCAGCTCAACAAAAGCTGGCTTTTTTCTTCCACCCTAAGGTTTGCATAATGAAATTTATTAGGATGTAAACGAGACTTAGGCTTCATTTGGAACAGCTTTTATATAGCTTTCGAAAACGGCTTTTTAATACGAAATATTCTAATTCAAGAAATTTTTGTAGTAAAATGTTGTTTTTAGAAAGCAACATGAAAGCTGTCCTAAATAAAACCTTAATCCAAGACTTTACAATAACTTTAAAAATCCTTAGTAGAAGACATTAACAGTAACTTTCAAAATCCTTACTAGCTGAGCAATCTGACACCTACAAATATGCAACTAGGCTTATTGATTAGATTTTATTAAAAGAAATATATGTAGAGTGTGAAAGAAATTGCTCAATTTTAGCAAAACTATAAAAAAATATGATCATATCTTTAGTAAAATTATATCATACAATTATATTAGCATAATGAAGTTTAATTGGATGATGTTATTGTGTATGATGTAATATATGATTCTGGGCAAAAATTTCTCATCCATGTGTTGTTTTGGTATTTATATGTGATGTTATAATAAATTCTAATCTTATATTTAAAAAATATTTTCTTTTTCTAACTTTAGATAAGTAACAAATGATCAACTAAAGAGCCGCTATTTTCCTTAAATCATCACATTCAATCTTGATATCATAATATATATACATATATATTGTTTTGTAAAGCTAAATACTTTTTCCCATGTTTCTTATATTCCTTATATAAATCAATAAAGGCATAACCTTTGTATGAAATATCAAATTAACATACCTATCAAGAATTAGAATCATTATAACGAGCTATGAGGCAAGCATTTGCCTTCTCTAACTCAGTTGAAGTTGATAATGACTTACATTAGAATTTTCCCGCATAAAATTCTTCTTCTTCTTCATGTCCTTCTTCTCCTTTTCCTTCTCTTGTCATCCACAAGTGTGGGAAGTCTCATCTAATGTGCCCCAGCTTCTTCTCGTGATAGCATTTGGCAATTTACTTTTCACCTAAAATAAAACCCTTAGAGTTAACTTTGTGAAGAGCCTTAAATTTCTCGTATCTATGTTGTTGCCTCTTTAGCATGAATATCAACCACCTTGAGATCAAGGACATCTCATTAACTTATCATCCACTTCCAAATGTACTCTGCTCTAAATAATTTGTTTGGAAAGTTATCGACTTTCCATTTTCTTCTCTTTCTTCCTTGATAGCTCTTCAAATTCTCATGCTACAATTGCCTATTCATGCACTACAAAAGAGCCCAAAATTTGATTAAGAGTATGGGGAGATTCATCCTTTGATTTTAGTGGTAGTTTACTTGAGATCCCATTCCTTGGGCAAATACCACAAAAAGTAGTGAACTAACTCTATATTTCTATATAATCTACCAAGAGAATGCATTGAGTTAACTGTCATCAATTTTCTATTAAAAATACCCAAGTCATACACTAATATATTAATATTAGTATCTCTTACTTATCAATAAATTCATAGTGGTTTTAAGTTTTCCTAACTTTCCTTAGTAGTTTTAAGTTTTCCTAACTTTCCTTAGTAGTTTCCAAAATGAAATCTCTCATATAATCACTTAATACAAATCACTCATGACCTTGGAGTTAAATTTGTCAAGTTCAATCTCAACCATAGTCCATTCTAAAAATGATTCCTTAGCTTTGACTCCATCAATAATTTTGCAAGGGGATTTATAATCACAAGATCACGTATTACACAAATGAGGATCTTCTACTCATTATGTGTTGCTCGATGAAAAATTATGTCTCATAGTGTGGATGCCCTCTTAATGGTTGTACAATTAAAGGATATACCAAAGCAGGATGGGGTGAATAGGCATATTAAAAAAATACTGCAAATAATGAAACTAAATACAGAATTAAAAACTATGATTGCAAATGAGTACTTAATAATAAGAAATTACGCAACACACAAATATTGTTAACTTGAGAATTAAAACTAAACCATACTTCTATAAATGATCAAAATACATAATTAACTTGAGAATTAAGACTAATCCATACTAAGACTTCGTTTGGGACAGCTTTTTTATCGCTCCTTAAAGCATCTTTTAGTACAAAAATTAAAATTTATGTACTAGAAATTTGCTTTAAGAAGAAGTAAGAAAACAGTCCCAAACGAAGCCTAAATCACCCTATCTGTGATATAAGAACAAGATAATTAATTATATAAATGATCAAAATACATAATTAACTTGATAAAAAATAATCTAACTTAAAGCACTAACAGAAAATTAACATAATTATTTTTAGTGCAAAATCACTCTACAATTGAAACTGATGCCTCTGCAAGATTTTGTAAGGAGATACCTAGACTTTGGTTGCCATAATCAATGCTCTACCATACATCTGGAAGATTCAAACTCATGCTTGTAAATTTCAAACAGCTCTGGAACTTGATCTGCATACTTGATCACATAGTCATTAAAGAATTTCTTCCGAGGCATCCGAAGGAATGATGCAAAATCCCCTGTTCTTTTTTTTAAGCCATTGGATGATAAAAACTGGAAAATCTTATACCTTGGGGAGATTGTCTTATCAAAACTGTAAGAAAGTATAATTGACCTTGCAGCCACATACGAGGGCTCCCATTTAAGCTTCTCAGAAAAGAAACCAAAATTCCGCTTGATCTTCTCCTCTGAAATAAGCATGCAGTAAGGATGATACTTGAATGCAGTAAAAGTATCCTCATTTGACCAACCTAAGCTCCGGAAGAGCTCCAACTTCTTGTTCCATGTAGACGAAGACAGCCCAGAGAGAACATTAACTCCTAGGGCAAACACAAGTTTAGAGGCATCGAAGCCCATTTTCTTAAGCAAGTCAATAGCTTGGTTGAAGTGAGCAGGGCCCTTCATCATCGCTCTAGGGTAAAAGGTGGACAATTTAACAATCCTGTGCCCTGGAACTCCTAATTCCATTAAGGTTTTCATGTTGGGAAGAACGCAATTGTCCAATCTCTCTCGGAGAAGTCTAGAAGAATTCCCAATGGCGGTAGCAACTTCCTTATCAGTACCTAGGATGCTCTTGAGCATATCGAAGTTGGGTCTGATCTTATTTTCTAAACTGGCTTTCAGGATGCTAGGATCTGAGGAAATAAGCTTGACTAAGTCGGCTTTGGAGTAGCCCACGTTGAGGAAAAACTCCAACTTTGGCTTGATCTTCTTCTCCTGGTTATAGCTAATCAACGCGGGCTGGCTGGAGACAATATAGGCAATCTGGCCTTGATTGAAGCCATGAGCTCTGAGGAGGGAGAGGAAGGAATCAGCGTTACCAGTGCTTTTCAAGGTAAACTTCTTGGCTATGGAGAGGGCCGCCGCCAGTGAGAGGCCGCAGGATCCGACGAGGTAGGAGACGGTAACATCTGAAACCGACGGGGTTAGGGTCTTAGGCACCGTGTCGTGGAGGAGACGCAGATGTGTCGGGCATGACGAGTTGTTTGTGATTGGCCTGTGGAAGGGGTATCTACGGAGAAGACGAAGCATTTGAGTCAAAATGTTGTGAGAAGACAAGCCCTGCTATACCTATACTGAGTGGGAGAGAGAGAGAAGAGGGAGAGAGTAAGAAACCCTAATTGACGGGCGCAACCGGATACAAAGCTAGCCGGTGCAACCTGATACAAACAACATAAAATCTTGTAAGAAATTTCATATTAAAAGAAGAAAAAAAATGCGATAATTCAAATTTATGAAAGAAATATTAATTAAATATTTATTTGGTAAAAAAATTCCTAATTAATTAGGAATAGTTATATCAAAATTATTTGGAGGAGCAAACATGCTCAATTCCTATATATATATATATAGATGCTTTGTGAGTGTGACTATGAGAGGGTGAATTATTACGTCCGGTCGCTGGACGTCCGGACACTCAATCAAGATGCGCCATATCACCCGAATACACTGGGCACGGTGTATTTTGATGACGTGGCACGTCTAGATTGGTGTCCGGACGAATCCGGACACCAGACGTAATAATTTGCCCTATGAGAGGCTGTGATGGGAGAGGCAAAAAAAAAGAAAAAAAAAGAAAAAAGAGTAAAAGGGCATAAAAAATGCATTTGCAATTTGAGAATTGCAAATATTGTAAATCAACATTGGATTTAATCAATGTCATTGGAGTAAATCCAACGAATAACCTTTGTGAGTGTGACTGTTACTGTGTCGACACACAAATAGTGACAATTGTGTTTACTGAGCCAACATGATACTAATACAGATTACTGCTTATTAAAAAAATATCGCTTAAATCAAGACTGTTTACTTGTTTAGTGTGACTACTAAAATACATATTATTGATTCATTATTATTGTTACTATATGATTATACTACTTTACTGTTATTGTTTAATGATTTACTGTTATTGTACAAATTAACTTTTATTGCATCACTTTCCTGTCAGTGTCACTGATTTTATTGATGACGCTACATTAATACTGTTACCGATACAAACATCGATGGTGTTAGTTTGTTTGATACTACTACTAATTCACTATACAGCTATTGAGCACATGACATACTAAGTATATGATTAGTATACTGATTTGATATTTATATAGAATAACATGATAACATGTGTATATCATTATGGGATTTTATTGTATTGATATGATTAAGATAATGTTTACTTATGCTTTAGTTTTACCGCTTATTATAATTTTTTTACTGATTGCTAGTACTAATATGACGTTTACTTTAGCAATTCAACACTTGTATTGATTTACTGGTTTCCCCACCATACTACTTTATGGTTTCCGTACCATACTATTTTACTGGCTACAAACTACTATTTCTACATCAATTTATAATCATATGACTACTATTGCTATGAATTAATTGATGACATTCATACTATTTCTTTATTGTGCTTTGAGTTAGTTGTAGGATCAAATAACATACTAGATTTTTTAGCTCATTATATATGATTTAAATGATTTCAGGTCAAGAAAGACGATTAGGTGTATGAGATTGATCAGATTAGGTACTGCTATTTATTTTTATATATCTTTTAGCTATTCTTTTGTACTCATGATTGATGATGATAAATTATATTTATATGATTTTTAAGGATTATGCATGATTTTGAAATAAAAATACATATGTATTTTAATGTTTGATTACTAGTTTTATTTAGCTGATATTACATTGATAAAAAAGAAATAAATAGCTTTGATGTTAATTTTACAAGATAAAAAAGAATATTTCTTTTAAATTTGATCTTGAGGCATAACATATCATCTCCACCTCTTGTAAAGAACTAGTTTGACTACATCCAATGACATCCATAACCATATTGCATTGCTACATCCACCACCTCAAAGTCACGGTAACTTTACCTCTCAAAAAAGATTTTCTCAATACTTGACCTCATTGTGTTACCAACATTGATAATAATAGTCTTGCCAACTTTTAATGCTATACACTAACATGTTTTTTGCGTTTGGAGATCTTGTACCTCACACTTGCTACAAATAAAAGCTATGGGAATTGGATAAATTCTCATTATTTTCTCTTCCCAAAATCATATATCCCTTACTCCCTCTACTCTTTTGAACATCTCTTCCCAAAACACGAGAACTTTGCCAACAACAATGACCCGAGAGATTATTCTGTGCGGACACCAGACAGCTTTCCATCCAAAGGCCAATCAGGTGCAGCCACGTCATCTAATACCAAGCTCAATATCGAGCATTATCGAGCCACAGTACCAAGTATGGGTGACGTGACACATTTTTATTAGGCTTTGAACAACGTTTAGCATCCGCACAGAATAATTCATCCCTCCTGAAACAATAAGTTGCAAACTTTTAGTAGTTGTTGGTACAAAGGAAACAAGCTTGAAACCAAAATCCTTAACCTTTTTTTTATTTTTAACATTGAGCGAATTTTACAATCAGATATAACAAAATGTTCAGTTTATATGTTCATACATACAACAGAAGTATATGTTTTATCTGTACAAATTTAGAGTACATAATTCAACAATAGTTGGGCCTTTGAGAAGAAAGAAACATGGAGCAATAAGCTTCAGCTTTCAGCTTTCAAAAACAAAATCTCACTAGTCTTACAAATGATAAGAGTAGATGCCAATGCTTCTGAAAACGGAATTAAAAGACACAAGAAAATGCAATGGCTAAGCTTTGTAACAGTCAAATGTCTTAAAAGGCCAACGTAGCTAAAAAGGTAAGATGGCTATCCTTAATAATCCATGTAGCAGTCATAAACTTTTTTTATGGGGACAGTTAGGTCAATTAACACAAATTCACACATACATCACATACACAAGACTCGAATCAAAGACATCTTAATTGGTAGCCTAAGCTCCCAACCAAAAGATCAAAATGAGCTGTGTAGCAGCCATAAACTTGGAAGCATACTGAGAATTATGTTCATGAAACATAGCTAAAAAACATGAGAATCATGTGCATGAACAATTCACCAATTTAGGCTTCGTTTGGGACCACTTTCTTACTGCTTCTTAAAGGAATTTTGTTACTAAAAATGTGCTTTATGAAGCAATAAAAAAGTCGTCCCAAACAAAGCCTTAGTCATAGTTAAGAGTGGATGGCAACATCTTCTGAACAACTGAACTACAAGGCGAAAGCACTACTAAAGTAACTAATTAAAGATATGAGCTACTAAGAATATTCAAAGGACCAGCCATAAAGCTCGAAGGCTTGCTACGGCAAATTATTAGGTGCGGATACTGGACATAGAGAATCATCCGAATTTTTCTATCTATAGTAAAAAAACAATTACTGTAGCAGATGCGCTTTTACTATAGACAGAGAGAAGTCGGGATGATTCTCTCTGTCCGGTGTCCTCACCTAATAATTTCTTGCAAAATACAGGGAACACTAGAGCACTTGAAAATCATGTTCATTGAATACAACAGACAACTTTGATTGGACACTTAACTATCTGCCCCAATTCTGGACAATTGTAACTTATCTTTGTAAAGTTCTAGTAACTCCGGAAATTGATCAGCAAACTTGATCACACACTGATTTAAGAATTTCTTCTTAGGCAACCACAGGAGAGTGGAGAAACCACCGTTCCTTCTTATCAGGCCATTGGATTCTAAAATCCGGAAAACCTTATATCTTGGGGTAATTGTGTTCTCAAAACTGAAAAAAAGCAAAACAGGCCGTGCTGCCACAAAGGAAGGCGACCATTGAAGCTCCTTAGCAAAGAAACCAAAATTATGCTTGATCTTCTCATCCGACAAAAGCATGCAGAAGGGATGCTTCTTGAATGCAGTTAAGATATCATCATCAGACCATCCTAAGCTTAGATAAAGCTGGAATTTTCGGTCCCAGGTGGCCTTACACAACACAGAGAGAACATTGACTCCCAAGGTAAACACAGTCTTAGAGACATCAAAGCCCATTTTCTTTAGCAAGTCAACAGTTTTGTTGAACTGGGCAGGATCTTTCAACAATGACCTCGGATAAAGAGTGGCCAATTTAACGATCCTGCTCTCCGGAACTCCAAGATCCTTCAAGGTCTTTATGTTGGGAAGCATATACCTGTCCAAATTCTGCCGGAGAAGTCGAGATGAGTTACCAATAGCAATGGCGACTTCCGTATGGGAGCCGAGGATGCCCTTGAGCATATCATAGTTGGGTCTGATTCGCTTTTCCAAGCTGGTTTTCAGAATGTATATGTCCGAGGTAATGAGCTTAACGACGTCGTCTCCGGAGTATCCAATACCGATGAAAAACTCCAACTTGGGCTTAATAATCTTCTCCGGATTGAAGGTGAGCAACGGAGGGTACCTGGTGACAATATCTGCAATTTGGCTTTGGGTGCAGCCATGAGATCTAAGGAGGGAGAGGAGGGAATCGGCGCTTCTGGTGGTGGCCTTGGTTTTGAAAGAAAAGTTTTTGGCGACGGAGAGGGCCGCCCCCGGCGAAAGGCCGCAGGATCCCACGAGGTAGGAGATGGTGAAATCTGAAAACGATGGGTCTAGGGTTTTAGGAACCTTGTCGTGGATCAGACTCAGTTGCTTCGGTCGCAAACACCGGTCGCTCGCGATTGAAAAGAGATTGGGATATCGATGCAGAAAAAGACGAAGCATTTTGCAGCATCGAGATTGAACAGAGAGAGAGAGAGAGAGAGAGAGAGAGAGAGAGTTCTGAGCGTTGAGGGAGAAATAAGAAACCTAATTAGCCATTGCAAGCCTTCTACGTTAAATATTATTTATTTGATTTATTTTTATATTAACAGAATACAATTATCTATATTCAGATTATTTTTATATGTTAAATATTTATATTTGATATAGAATTTTTACATTGAGGTGAAATATAATCTATTTTAAATCCTAATAATTTTATTATTTATATGTTATATCATATTAAATGTCAACCAAATCTGTAAAAAAATGAATTTAAAAAATATTCTTTAAATATTAATAAATCAAATAAATAATATATTGAAATAATACATCATGCTATTAGAGAAAAACAATCCTCTTAGATATGGTATTATTAGTTAACTCTTATTTAGACCTCGTTTGCTACATCTTTTTTACTGCTTTTTAAAGCACTAAAGAACTGATTTAAGAAACAGTGAGAAAGCTGCCCTAAAAGAAGCCTTAAGAAAGATTGAATATGGCTTTTAGTGTAGCAAGATAAGTCTAAGATGAGAGTTGTCCAATACTAAAGAAATTTGAGCGAGCAACTTTGTTGAAGGTGATCCCGCATTCCCGCTTGCAAGTTCTTCTATTAGCTATAATAGTTGGTTCAAAATAATTGCCTTCAAAGGTCCCCCTCATGAGGAGAACTTATTACATCCGGACAAAAAACCAAAAATCCGGACAAATACCGAGCAATGCCGAGTGCTCGGTACCAAGCACCCAAGTGACGACGTGGCATTTTGTTATTGGTCTCTGGATGCGTTCGGTGTCCGGACACAATAATTACTTGAATAATGAAAAACTGATGTAGTTTTCAAATTAAAATGATTCAAAACATTTGCACTGCATGAAAAGTCACATTATCACCACCAACCTAAAAAAAGAGCTTGATAATGATGAGTGTGTGCATGATCACCTAAGAGCTCAATAGTTGAAACATACATAATTTTTTTTTTCATAGAATGAAGCTCAAATGGAAATCTTATGAACTGATCATCCATATAGAAGTACCAAATTTGTAATTCAGATCCTGCACATACTTGACTTTTGTAAGAATCCTAATCACTCCATCATCAGTCTTAATTCTAACAGTTCCAATATAAAAAATGCTACATGCTGTGTCATTTCATATAATGACTTTCCCTCCACTGACCTCTTTGAATGAATCAAATTAGTATATGTTAAGAGTCATATCAAATGAACATCATGAATCCATTATCCAATCTTTTCTATTAGAATATGTAGTAACTGTCAAAACCTTTGAATCCTCAAATCTATATGATGCTACTGATGCATTCCCAAATTCAACTGATTTTCCTTTATTCTTCCTTTTCAAATCTAGACAATTCTTCTTATAATGCCCTTCCTTATGATAGTGAAAATATTTTAATTTAGTTTTAGATTTCAACCTTGACTTGTTTATATACTTCTTCTTTTCTAGCTTGCCTCTAGCATTCAAACCTAGAGCTCCTTCTAATTCTTTCTCAATTTTGGTTTCAATCTATTTAGATTTTGCTGTTTGAACCACTTCCAAAGACAAAGTCCCCAGAGCATATTTCAATGTTTCAACAAAGTGAGCATAAGATTTAGGATGATTACTGTTTGATCCTCATAATCCATCTTAACTCCAAGGTTTTCTATATCAATGACAATTTTATTGAAATCAACCATATTATCCTGAAGACTTTTTCACTCAGATATTCTAAATCCAAACAATTTTCCCTCGTAGTAGATTCTATTATGCAAATTCTTGGTCATGCATATTTGTTCCAATTTCAACCGGATTCCAACAGCTGTTGTTTCCTAATCAACCTCACGAAGAACCTTGTCACTCAAATGCAGCACTAGCGTATATACGATAACTCCATGATCTCTGCACTCTCATCTGGATCTAAAAAACTCAACAAATTTCTTTCTCCTTCTAAAGCCTTGGCAATTTTCATTTGGACCAGAACGGCTTTCAAAACTTTTTCTCCAAATAGACAAATCATTTTTTCCATCGAACCTTTTGATCTTAACCTTTGAAACCCCCTTTCTGTTTAAAATCTAATCAGTGGCTCTGATACCAATTTGTTGTAAATCTAAATGACTTTTAAAGTGTGCAACTGATTTAGGGTTTTATCCAAATTGTGTTACTAAATGATCAGAAAACCAAAGTTTCCTATAATTGAAACAAATAAACCAAGCTAGTAAAATCTAAGTTTCTTATTTACAAAAATAAAAATTAGTAAATTACGAACAAATTAATCAATTAATTGGATACATTCTTTCACTGAAATTTGCACAATAAAGTGACTAATATGCTTCTTGCTTTCAAACAAACTTATTCTCACAAGTATTTGATTAAATCACAATATTAACTTACAAGATCTTACCAAAACAACAAGCTAACATGATTCGACATATTTATATCAAGCAGCTACACTATCTAGAAAAACATAAAAACAAGATATATGCTGAGATATAAAATCAGCTAACAAGAAAGTATGAACAAGCATGTATACATCATTATAGGATTTTATTATATTGATATGATTCAAACAGTGTTTACTGATGTTTTAATTTTACCGCTTATTATAATTTCTTTACTGATTGCTAGTACTGATACGACGACTGCTTTAGCGATTCAACACTCGTGCTAATTTACTGGTTTCCCACCATACTACTTTATTGGTTTATGTACCATACTGTTTTACATATTACTATTTTTACATCAATTTATGATCATATGACTGCTACTATGAATTGACTGGTAACATGCATAATGACTCTTTACAATGCTTTGAGTTAATTGTAGGATTAGATGACCTACTGATTTTTTAATTCATTATGATATTTAAATGATTTCAAATCAAGACATATTATTAGGTGTATAAGATTAATCAGATTTAAATTCTCTAGGTTTGCTATTACTTTATTTTTTTCTAACTATTTTTGTACTCATGACTGATGATGATAGATTGTATTTTTTAAAGGAAATTTGAGAATTATGTATGATTTTGGAATACGAATGCACATGTATTTTAATGTTTGATTACTAGTTTTATTTTAGCTGATATTATATTGATAAAAAAGTAGACAGCTCTGATATTAATTTTAAAAGATAAAAAAATAATTCTTTCAAATTTGATCTTGAGTCATTACATATCATCACCACCTCTTGTAAAGAACTAGTTCGACTACATCCAACGACATCCATAACCATCTTGCATTGCTACATCCACAACCTCAAGAGTCGCAATGGCTTCACCTCTCAAAAAAAGATTTTCCCAATACTTGATCTCATTGTGTTACAAACATTGATAATAATAGCTATGCTAACTTTTAATGCTATACAATAACATGTTTTTTGAGTTTGGAGATGAGTGAACTCTTGTACCTCACACTTACTACAAATAAAAGTTATTGGAACTTGATAAAATCTCATTATTTTCTCTTCCCAAAATCTTATATCCCTTACTCCCTCTACTCTTTTGAATATCTCTTCCCAAAACATGAGAACTTTGCCAACAACAACGACCCCTCCTGAAACAGTAAGTTGCAAACTTTTAGTAGTTCTTGGTACAAAGAGAACTAGTCTTAGAAATGATAAGAGTAGATGCCAATGCTTCTGAAAACTGAATTAAAAGACACAAGCAAATGCAATGGCTAAGCTTTGTAACAGTCAAATGTCTTAAAAGGCGAACGTAGCTAAAAAGGTAAGATGGCTATCCCTAATAATCCATGTAGCAGTCATAAACTTTTTTTATGGGAACAGTTAGGCTAATTAAGACTCACACATACATCACATACACAATACTAGAACCAAAGGCTTCTTAGTTGATAGCCTAAGCTCCCAATCAACAGACTAAGATGAGCTGTGTAGCAGACATAAAATTGCAAGCATACTGAGAATTATGTTCATGAAACAGAGCTAAAAAACATGAGAATCATGTGCAAGAACAATTCACCAATTTAGGCTTCGTTTGGGATGGCTTTCTTACTGTTTCTTAAAGTAAATTTTTAATTTTTTGTATTAAAAAAATGCTTTATGAAGCAATAAAAAAAGCGTTCCAAACAAAGCCTTAGTCATAGTTAAAAATGAATGGCAACACCTTCTAAACAACTGAACATAAGGCGCAAGCAAGTGCGATAAGTAAGCTCTACTAAAGTAACTAATTAAAGATATGAGTTACTGAGAATATTCAAAGGAGCAGCCATAAAGCAGCAAGGCTTGCTACGGCAAATTATTATGTGAGGACACCGGATAGAGAGTATCATTCGGATTTCTCTCTGTCTATAATAAAAGTACAGTCAAAGCATAGTTACTGTAGCAGCTGCGCTTTGACTGCTCTTTTACTATAAACATAGAATTCATAATGATTCTCTTTGTCGAGCATCCGCACCTAATAATTTCTAGCAAAATACAGGAAACACTAGAGCACTTGAAAATCATGTTCATTGAATAAAACTGACAACTTTGATTGGACACTCAACTATCTGCCTCAACTCTGGACAATTGTAACTTATCTTTGTAAAGTTCTAGTAACTCCGGAACTTGATCAGCAAACTTGATCACATACTGATTTAAGAATTTCTTCTTAGGCAACCACAGGAAAGTAGAGAAACCACCGTTCCTTCTTATCAGGCCCTTGGATTCTAAAATCCGGAAAATCTTATATCTTGGGGTAATTGTGTTCTCAAAACTGAAAAAAAGCAAAACAGGCCGTGTTGCCACAAAGGAAGGCGCCCATTGAAGCTCCTTAGCAAAGAAACCAAAATTATGCTTGATCTTCTCATCCGACAAAAGCATGCAGAAGGGATGCTTCTTGAATGCAGTTAAGATATCATCATCGGACCATCCTAAGCTACGATAAAGCTGGAATTTTCGGTCCCAGGTGGCCTTACACAACGCAGAGAGAACATTGACTCCCAAGGTAAAGACAGTCTTAGAGACATCAAAGCCCATTTTCTTTAGCAAGTCAATAGTTTTGTTGAACTGCGCAGGATCTTTCAACACTGACCTCGGATAAAGAGTGCATAACATCCTGTCTCCGGAACTCCGAGATCCTTCAAGGTATTTATGTTGGAAGCATATACCTGTCCAAATTCTGCCGTAGAAGTCGAGATGAGTTACCAATAGCAATGGCGACTTCCGTATGGGAGCCGAGGATGCCTTTGAGCAAATCATAGTTAGGTCTGATTCGCTTTTCCAAGCTGGTTTTCAGAATGTGTACGTCCGAGGTAATAAGCTTAACGACCATCGTCTCCAGAGTACCCAATGCCGATGAAAAACCCAACTTGGGCTTAATAATCTTCTCCGGGTTTGAAGGTGAGCAACGGGGTACCTGGTGACAATATCTGCAATTTGGCTTTGGGTGCAGCCATGAGATCTAAGGAGGGAGAGGAGGGAATCGGCGTTTATGGTGGTGGGATTTGGTTTTGAAAGAAAAGTTTTTGGCGACGGAGAGGGCCGCCACCGGCGAAAGGCCGCAGGATCCGACGAGGTAGGATATGGTGAAATCTGAAATCGATGGGTCTAGGGTTTTTAGGAACCTGGTTGTGGATCAGACTCAGTTGATTTGGGCGTAAACACCGGCCGCTCGCGATTGAAAAGAGATTGGGATATCGACGGAGAAAAAGACGAAGCATTTTGCAGCAGCGAGATTGAACAGAGAGAGAGAGAGAGAGTTCTGAGCGTTGCGGGAGGAAAAAGAAACCTAATTAGCCATTGCAAGACTATACGTTAAATATTAGGGATTTAATGTACATACAACTTTATAACATGGGTATTACATATTTAACACATAAAACTTAAATATTTCATATATGCCACTCAAACACAATTTTACCTCAAGAACTGCCACATCCGTTTAACAGCGAACCGGACTCAGTTTATTCTTTCATTTCCGCCTTGGCTTTCGGCGGGAGAATGCGTTTCAATAAATGTCCCGGCTCCGTATTTGCTCTCCTCCTCCGTATTTGCACTTCCACAGTTGCTGTCCCTGCTCTTCCATCCGTATTACCCAGTGCTCTGCCGGACTTGCTTTTTTTTTATTCCTGCATGTATACATTGCTCTGCTTTACTCGACTTTGCTTTTTTTATCCATCGTTTAAGGCTTTACTGAAATCGTGCTGGAATCGGCTAGCTACATCCGCATGGTTGCTAATCAGATTCAGGAGATGGTGAAGATGTATCCAGATATTTCACCAAAAGAAATAAAATAGCGGTTTGGAGAAGGAATTGGTTTTATCATATCTGGATGGTTTCTAAATGAAGATCCATCTCAAATGAACATGTTTTGTTACTATGTTAACCTTAAAATATTTGTATATTTTTTGTGTTGTGAAAGGCACCTTTAGCTTTCTTCAAATGAAACCCTATGTATTCACAAAATATATTTCGGCACCTGTAGCTTGCTTTGTATGTTTCGGCACCTGTAGCATTTCAAATGAACCCTTTGTTTCGGCAACCTGTAGCATTCTCAAATGAACCCTATGATACTTCGGAACCTGCAGCTTGTGTTTGATTTTATTTGGTAAGGCTTGCTATGTATGTTTCGGCAAAGGGACCTTTAGCTTAGTTAAGTTTATTTGAAACCTGTAGCTTGTTTCCATTTTGGTCGGCAATTGGGCCTTTCAGCCTTGTTTTTTAAAATTTTGGATTTTTTTATACCAAATAAAAGCATCCATACGGCAACCATTCAGCAAACCAACACCATACAAATTACAGATCTTTCATTTAAAAAACTTACAAAATGGTCAATAGACTTCATCAAAAGATATTACAAAACTTATGTCATAAACTACTACGGATAGCTATTACAAGAACAATTACAAGTACACACTTCTACATCATGTTAGACTACTTACACATTAAACTAAATAAATACGGATAGCTATTACAAGAACAACACCAACAAAGACTTTCATCAACCAGATGATCCAAGTCAAGACTTCTTAGACATCCTAGCCTTCAAAGCCTTTCAACTTCAGTAGGTGTACCATAGACGTCTCTTCTAACATTGTCTGTCCATTTAAAGTACCTGCAATCGTCTTCCGTTCGATTATTCATGCATCTATAAAATTGCCTTCCAGAGTTGGGTCCACGGTAGCAAGTATATAACGGCACACTTAAGATGACAGTAAACATTAAACTTGACAATGTGGGCGCCTCGTAGCAGAAGAATTTGTTGAACTCATTTGAAACCAGCCAATCTATGAACAAAACAAAGTGATTTAGATACTTATATATGGCAGCTCATATGTGACCAGTCTCAAAAGATGGCTCTCTTCTTTGTGGGATGGGGTAACTGCACAATCCGGCGTAAATGAAGCAGATCTAACCTGAACAGAGACTTATGTGTTGCAAAAACAAAATGAGCAGATCTAACCTGAAAGAAGAAATTATTTTCTTGAAGCCAACATCAGGGTAATCCAATCGGCGTAAATTAACAAGACAAAATGAAAATCAATCGATAGACAAGCACAAAAAACTCCGGCTACAAGTTCCGAAAACTTTTTTTGTTACAAAAGTTCAAATTACATGGAAATAAAATCTGCAGATTTAAAACTTGAAAACAAAAGTCAATTACATAACTTATCACAAAAATACAGAAATCTTGAAAACTACAAATCAAAAAATCTGAAAATACACAAATCTGAAGATAAAAAAAGCAAAGAACGAGAATTGGCTAAAGAACACACTGCGAAGTAAGAAAACAATGGGGGCAAAAAGCTTAGGAAATGGCTGAGTTTAGGGATGCCAAGAGAGGAGGAGATCTTACCTTCCGGTTGGAAAAAACAAGAACGAGAGGAGTTCGAAGCTTAGGAAAATGGCAGAGTTTAGGATGCAAAGGAAAGAGAGGAGGAGATCTTACCTTCCGGTGGCAAAAAGCAAAAAACTGAGGAGTTCGGTGGGAAGAGCCGAAGGAGCACGCAAGTTAGGGCATTTACAACCGGACTAAGACGGAGTGGCATTTCTGAGGTTAAAAACTGTGTTTGAGTGGGCATATATGAAATATTTAAGTTTTAGGTGTTAAATATGTAATACCCATGTTATAAAGTGGTATGTATGTAAAATCCCTAAATATTATTTATTTGATTATTTCTTATATTAAATAGAATACAACAACAACAACAACATCAAGCCTTTATCCCACCTAACGTGGGGTCGGCTACATGAATCCTTTTTCTCCATTGTGTCCTATTAAAAGTCAAATTCTCGTTTAAAATCTAATAAAGAAAGGTCATTTCCTAATATTTTCTAACCAAGTCTTTTAGGTCTACCCCTACCTTTCTAACATAAGCAAATCTAATACCTCTACTCTCCTAACCGGGTCATCACAAGGCCGCCGTTTTATGTGACCAAACCATCTAAGGCGACTTCTCTAATCTTATCTTCTACTGGAGCTACTCCAACCTTTTCACGTATATGCTCATTTCGTATCCTATCTCTAAGGGTAAAGCCACTCATCCACCTGAGCATCCTCATCTCCACCCACACTTTACTTAGTATTATGCTTCTCTTTTAAAAGGCCAACATTCGGCACCATAAAACATTGCAGGCCTCACTACCATCTTATTAGAATTTTCCCTTAAGTTTGAGAGGTACATTTCTATCACATAACAAGCCCGATGCATTCCTCCACCTTCAACCATCCAACTTAAATTCTGCTGATAAATATCCCATCTATTTCACCATCACTACTAACAATAGATCCAAGATATCTAAAACGTTGTACATCTTATTAATGACTTGATCGCCCAAAGTCACAATCCCCTCACTAGGTCTATTACTATTAAAAATTACACTCCATAATATTCCTTTTAGAGATCTATCTCAAGCGAAAACCTATTAGACTCTAGGTTTTGACCACCATAACTCAAGTTTACCTTCAACTCCCTCTCTAGTCTTATCAACAAGAAGAATATCATCAGCAAGAAGCATACACCAAGGTACATCCTCTTGCAAATGTCTAGTGAGAACATCCATGACTAAAGCAAAAAGATATGGGCTTAAGGCTGATCCTTGATGTAACCCAACCGAAATAGGGAAATACTTGGCAAAATATTCAGATTATTTTTATATGTTAAATATTTATATTTGATATAATATTTTTACATTGAGGTGAAATATGATCTATTTTAAAACATAATAATTTTATTATTTATATGTTATATCATACTAAATGTCAACCAATTCAGTACAAAAATGAATTTATAAAATATTCTTTGAAATATTAATAAATCAAATAAATAATATATTTAAATAATACATCATGATATTAGAGTCAAATTAGGAAGGTAAAGCAAAAGTAGTGTGATTCATTTCACATAAATTATATTTAGAAAAAAGAACAATCCTATTAGATATGAGATTATTAGTTAATTCTGATTTAGACCTCATTTGAGATGGCTTTCTTACTGTTTCTTAAAGCACTAAAAAGCTACTTTAAGAAGCAGTGAGAAAGTCGCCTCAAATGAAGCCTTAGAAAGATTGAATATGGCTTTTAGTGTAGCCAGACAAGTATAAAATGAGAGTTGTCCAATATGAAAGCTATTTGAGCGAGCATCTTTGTTGAAGGTGATCCCCCTTGTGAGTTCTTATAATAGGTAATCTTGTGAGTTCCTCTAACAAGATATTTCTTAAGTCTGGCTTTGATGAGTACTTTGGATGATTGGTCATGACATTTTGACGAATAGCTTGGGCGAGTAGACATTTTCATGATGAATTCAATAATTTGGGATGACTTTCTTACTACTTCTTAAATCAACTTCTATAAAACTATTTTAAGAAACAATTAGTAAGCCGTTCCATTCTATTATATGAATTCTATGAAAAAAACACCTAACCCTACTATAAGGTTGCCAGTTTGGCTCAAAGATAGTTCAAAATTTTGAATTGATTTTTGCTTGAATCAAAGTTAACGAGCAAATTAACAAACCAAATATAACTAGGAGTGAAGATGAATCGAGTCGAGCTGAGATATGGGCTCAACTAGCTTTCAGTGTGTGCACATCCATACTACATAAAATATATCGATCTATGAGTGCAAATATATATCTCGGATTCAAAATTTATCATAGCAATAAAAAATCAATCGAGATCGAATAGCTTCCTTTGCTCAAACACATACTATATATCAAGTGAGTTTATCAAAAGACTCAGCTCAATTTGAGATAAAATCAAATAACTTCAAACTAATTTTGAGATGAAGTCTTATCGGTTCGGGTTCGAGCTCGAGGTCGGATCATTAACAGCCCCACCCCCATATATTAGTAATATGTACCTTTCTCTTCTGAATCTTGGGCACTATTGAATGAAGCTTAAGTCCCCTCGTGATGGTCTATATATGAATATATATATGTAATAAGTTGCTATACAATGTTTTGTCTACAGTAACAACAAATATCTTCATCCTTACCACCCTAGAAACCAACTTTTTGGCTGGTAATCGAACTCGATCAAAGAAGCATCAAAGGTCATTAGCAACATTGTCAGAAATGAGAAGTGATGATGAGCCTATGCACAGTCACCTGTGAAATGTGATGAGAATAATGAAAAACTGATGTAGTTTTCAAATTAAAATGATTCAAAACATTTGCACTGCATGAAAAGTCACATCATCACCACCAACATCAAAAAAGAGCTTGATAATGATGAGTGTGCGCATGATCACATAAGAGCTCAAATAGTTGAAATATGCATATTTTTTTTTCATAGAATGAAGCTCACATGAAAATCTTATGAACTGAGCATTCATATAAAAGTACCAAATTCTCAATTCAGATATGGCACATACTTGACTTCTGTAAGAGTCCTAATTACTCCATCATCAGTTTTAATTCTAACGGTTCCAATCCCATGGACTTTACATGCTGCATCACTTTCCATGATGACTTTCCCTCCACTGACCTGTCTGAACGAATCAAACAAGTGCATGCTAGAAGAAGTCATATGAAATGAACATCTTGAATCTATTATCCAATCTTCCCTATTAGAATCTGTGGTAACTGACAAAACGTCTGAATCCTCAAATCTATCTGATACTACTAATGCATTCCCAAATTCAATTGACATTCCTTTATCCTTCCTTTTCAAATCCAGACAATTCTTCTTATAATGCCCTTCCTTATGATAGTGAAAACATTTGAATGTAGTCTTAGATTTGGACCTTAGACTTGTTTATATACTTGTTCTTTTCTTTCTTTTTTAACTTGCTTCTAGCATTCAAACCTAGAGCTCCTGATTCTTTCTTACTTTTTTTTTCAATATGTTTAGATTTCAATGCTGTTTGAACCTCTTCCAAAGACAAAATCTCTCGAACATATTTCATTATTTCAACAAAGCGAGCGTACGATTTAGGAAGTGGATTTAGGATGATTATTGCTTGATCCTCATCATCCACCTTTACTCCAAAGTTTTTTAAATCAATGACAATTTTATTGAAATCATCCATATTATCCATATTATCCTCAAGACTTTTTAACTTCAACATTCAAAATCCAAACAATTTTCCCTTGCACTAGATTCTATTATGCAAATTCTTAGTCATGTATATTTGCTCCAATTTCAACCAGATTCCAACAGTTGTTGTTTCCTTATCAACCTCAAGAAGTACCTTCTCTCTCAAATGCAACACTAGCATACTATACGCTAACTCCATGACAAAGAATTTCTCTCTTGTAATAGATTCTATTCTGCCATCTCATCTGGATCTAAAGAACTCGGCAAATTTCTCTTTCAAAAGCCTTAGCAACTTTCATTTGGACCAGAGAGACTTTCATTTTTGTCCTCCAAATGGAGAAATCAAATTTTCCATCGAGCATTTGAACATTAACCTTTGAACCCCCATTCTTTTTAAAACTTAATCAGTAGCTCTGATACCAATTTGTTGTAAATATGATTGACTTTTAAAGTGTGCAATTGATTTAGGATCTTATCCAAATTAAGTTACTAAATGATTAGAAAATCAAAATTGCATACAATTGCAACAAATAAACCAAGCTAGTGAAATCTAGGTTATGATCTTATTTACAAAAATAAAATCAGTAAATTACCAAAGTAATTAATCAAATGGTATACATTCTTTCATTGAAATTTGCACAATAAAATGACTAATATGCTTCTTGCTTTCAACCAAACATATTCTCACAAGTATTTGATTAAATCACAATATTCACTTGCAAGATCTTACCAAAATAGCAAGCTAACATGAATCAACATATTTATATCAAGCATCTACACTATATTCACTTGCAAGATCATGTTATTGTTTTCATGCAGAAGAAGCCCACCTCATGCGATTTCTCGTTCCCAGCAAGTCTCCTCCTCGCCTTTCGGTCTCCTGTTCTCGATCTGCCCCCTTTCTTGTTTGCTAGGTTTGCAAGATGCCCACCAACCAAAGGCCCACCTGCTTAATTAATGGGAAAGCAAGAAATACAAGAAGCAATATACAAGGCTACACTCGAATTGTAACTAGTGCAAATTAATAAAACCAATTAAATACAACTTAATATTTGATTCATAAATTATTAATTAACAAATATATAACAAGTTCACAATAAGGATGCCAAAGATGATCCAGGAACATCACTTTGTAGAATTAAAGTAGCATTATTGTTTTTCTTAAAGTGTATAATACAAGTAAGAATTAAGACAAGAACATATCAAATTATAAAAAAAAGAAAGAATTTAACAATTTCCATATAAATAAGATAAAAAATGCTCACTAACTTTGTAAGAAATCAACTACTCGTGCAATACTAAGAAGCATTATAATCATGGATAATGCATACAGAATTCTCAAATAGAAAAGCTATCACTACAAAATGTTTAAAGGCATACCCAAAATGCAGCAATTTGATGCAAAAGCAATGGCCTTGAGGGATGAATATACTAAATAAGATAAAAGACACTCGCCATGCACTACACAGAAGCAACATAGCCATAGTTAATGCATTCTCAAACAGAAAAAAAAAAACAATGACAAGAAAATATTAGGACTAAAAAACACCCTAAATGTGGCAATCTGATGCAAGAACAATGACCTTGAGAGACGCATCTCTTACTTTCTAAGATGTTTATTAGTTGATCAAAACCAGATAACAGAATTCAAGTATTCCCTCTGTTATTTGAGAAGAAACACAATGAAGCCAAAGGTTCAGTTTCCCAGTCTGGCTAAAGTAAAGAGTAGATGGGCAAGCTATAAATGAACAAATTAATCAAAGATCTTCTCAGTAACAAAACTTCAAGCAACTAAGTAGCCACAGTTGTAGAGATAGTAAATTATGTGAAAATAATAAGCATTGAGAATCGAGATTATCAAACGCATAACAAATTTTATTGCAGCATTCAGTGCTCTTCCTTACATCCAAATACCCCCAAATTGTCTTCATAAACTTTAAGTAACTCTGGTACTCGGTCCGCATGCTTGATGATATATTTTTTCACAAATTCCTTCTCAGGTATATACAAGAAAGATGCAAAATCCTTAGTCCCTTTCGGCAATCCTTTGGATTCTAACAGGCAGAATATCTTATACCTCGGGGAAATTCTCTTCTCAAAACTAAAAGCAAGGCAATTTGGTCTTTTCGCCACATAAATGGGATCAAATTTTAGCTTCTCAACAAAGAAAGTCATATGGCGTTTGATCTTCTCATCAGATAGAGACATGCAATAAGGATACTTCCTGAACGCAGTTAAAGTATCCTCCTTGGACCATCCAAAGCTCCGGTAGAGCTCCAACTTCTTGTCCCACGAAGACTGAGGTACTATAGAGAGAGCATTCATTCCCACAATAAACATAGGGAGAGAGACATCAAATCCTATTTGCTTAAGCAAGGCAACATCTTTGTTGAAATGTGAAGAGCTCTTTGTCAAAGCTCTGGGATAACGCGTGACAAATTTCATGACATTGTGCCGAGGAACTCCGATATCTCGTAAGGTCTTCATGTTAGGCAGAATAAAACCTTCCAATCTAAGGCCGAGCAATTGGGAAGCGTTCAAAATGGTGATGGTGAATCCCCGGTCCACGTTGAAGATGCTCTTGAGCATATGAAAGTTGGGCCTGAGCCTGTTTTCCAAGCTAAAACACAGGATTTGGGGATTATTTGTGACGATATTAACGATGTCGGAGTTGGAATAGCCGACGTCGAGAAAAAACTCCAGCTTGGGCTTGATTTTCTTCTCGGAGTTGTAGGTCAGCAGCTCCGGGTGGGTGGTGACGATATAAGCAATCTGGGGCTGCGTAAAGGTATAAGATTTGAGAAGGGAAAGGAAGGAATCGGCTGCATCGGTGGCTTTCAGGGTGAGCTTCTTGGTGACGGAGAGGGCAGCCGCCGGTGATAGCCCGCATGATCCGACGAGGTACGAAACTGTGGCGTCTGAAACAGAGGGATTTAGGGTTTTATAAACCTTGTCGTGGAGGAGGCGCAGAGGTGCCGCGCATGACCGATCGAGTGGGATTGATAAGCGGAAGCAGCATCGATGGAGAAAACGATACATTTGCCCCAAATTCTACAACGCGCTGCAGGTAAAAAAGAACCCTAAATATATCAACTGAAGTTGGACAAATAGTAGTAAGAGAAAAACTATTAATTACTAATTATATGAGATTCCCAACAAAAAGGAAGGCCAATGAGAAGGAAAAATTATTCTATCCGGATTTCAGTCTCCAATAAAATTGCGTCATGTCTGATATCGAGCTCGGAACCATTCGGTACTTGAGTGTGAACCGGATGGTTCTTCAGTCCAGTCCTGTGTTCGCACAGAATAATCTCTCAATGAGAAAGGAGAATGAACACAACTCATTTTGACATGTTGGTTGAGAGTTTACGCTATCAATTAAGAGGTTTAGGATTTAAGTCTTATATATGCGATATGTGTATGAGTCTGTCTTCATTGATCAAAATGTCCAACAAAAAAAGGGAGAATGATTTTTTTTTCTTTTTTTTTTTAAATTAAGCTTAAAAATAAAAAGGGAGAATGATGTTATAATGAGGAGAGATAATTATATGCGGAATCCTGACGGATAGTAAAAACGCAGTAAAAATACAGTTACTGTTTGCCACTGTGCTTTTGCTGCGCACACTCATAAAAATAGGATACAACATCAATCCAGACTTTGCACGTAACAATCACTCTATAATAAGAGTAGGATAAGGAAATAAGTTCTAGACCCATTAAGAATGAATAAAGATTTTGCTTTGTTCATTATTTGATAAATACAATATTGTATTATATTGAAATTCTTATTTTCATGAGTCTAATATGGCTAAAATATCAAACTTGAAATTGCCATTTCTATTATATTTTATTTAGAAATAACCTTTTTGAAAATAAATTAAAAAAATCCAATCTTTCCATCCAATATATGTTCTTTTTTTATTTTTTTAATTAAAAATGGTGAAAACCTCTTGATGAGGCTATCCGAGTCTGCGAGGCATTTTATCTATTTTACGTTCTCCACTACCTCAGCTACCGTCCTTGTTTCCCTTTCTGTTAAGCACGTTTGCTGTTTTCTTTTTAACCGTCTATACGTTTATAGGACTGTCTCGATAGAGATATATATATGCTGCTGAGAAAGAATGAGGGATAGAAGAAATATATACAATCCCTTTTATCACTGTTACATTGCTTTCTTTGTCTTTCTTAGCACTCTCGCAGGTGTTCGCCGACGTTTGCTGGAAGGAGCTCCTTCAGGTTGGTATCAGAGCCAACGTTGGCCGATGGCTGCAGAGTCTTCACGCCGAGTTCCTGACGATGATCGGAGCTTAGACGCCTTGTGGGCAACGCAAGTTAGCATCACTCGGCAGTTGAATGAACTGAGAGCGGACTTCCTCCGCATCTCTACGGATTTGCGCAATGAGATGCAAGATCTCAGAGCGTCAGTTAACACTGTTCCCGGTCTGGTTCCACCACCACCAGCGGCCATTCCAACACCGCGAGTTCCTTACGGTCGAGCCGACCTTCGTCGGCCTCCTCGACCTACACTGCCGGAGATTACAGATTCTGAAGGTGAAGTTGATTTTCCAAACTACAGGGACCCTTTTGGTTCAGGGGACGAAGAACATCTTCGATATTACGAACGGCCTCGACATCATGGCCGTCATCACAGTAATCCGGGTGAGTTTCGTGTCAAATTAGACATTCCCTTTTTCGAAGGACGGCTTCACATTGAGGATTATCTTGATTGGGAGAGGTCTGTTGAATCCTTTTTTGAATATATGGAGATCAGTCCCGAGAGGCAAGTTAAGTATGTAGCTTGCCGGCTCAAAGGAGGAGCCAGCGCTTGGTGGCTCCAATTGCTACAAACTCGTCGTCGGGAAGGACGAGGACCAATCCGAAGCTGGCCTAGAATGAAGCAGTTACTTCGAAGCCACTTCCTACCGACTGACTATGAGCAAATGCTGTATCTCCAATATCAACAGTGTGCGCAGGGCCAACGATCGGTGAGTGACTACACCGAGGAATTCTATCGGTTGAGTGCGAGAAACAACCTTCAGGAATCTGAGACTCAAATGGTGGCTCGCTATATTGGGGGTTTGAAGGATGTCTTACAAGATAAACTTGAGCTCAACTCCATCTGGACTTTATCACAAGCAGTGAATTTCGCTTTGAAAGCTGAAAACCAGGTCCTCCGTCAATCCCGCAGCCAGTCAGCTCGTAAACATTCATCAGATTCATTCCATGATAATGCCAAGCAATTGTCACAGCCTCACAAGTCATTTCAGACGTCTCAGCCTTCCCGTTCTACTATTAATTCTCCAACTCCAGTTGCAGCAGTTCCTATGGATACAAAGGGACAACCCAGGCCAAATGCTCCAGCTAAGGAAAATCCTTATAGTCGACCCGGAACACTCAAGTGCTTCAGGTGTTTTCAACCCGGACATAAGTCCAATGAATGTCCGAATCGACAACGAATCCAATTGATTGAGGGAGAATCACACAACACTGAGGTCGACGTGGGGTCTGCTGAACAGGATTCGGAGACCGGTTTCGAAGATGTACACGGCGATGAAGGTGATCCTCTCCTCTGTGTTATACAGAAATTGTTGTTAGCCCCTCGGACCCCTACCCATTCCCAGAGGAATGCTTTGTTCAAGACTCGTTGCACTATACAAGGAAAGGTATGCGACCTTCTCATAGATAGCGGATGTACGGAGAACGTTATTTCCCGCTCGGTCGTGCAAGCTTTACAGTTAAAGACCACTAGTAATCCTCACCCATATAAAGTGAGCTGGATCAAAAAGGGCATGGAAGTCGTCATCACGGATATGTGTCGAGTATCCTTTTCCATTGGAAAACATTACGCCTGTGAGGTAAATTGCGACGTTATTGATATGGATATATGCCATCTTATTCTGGGTAGACCGTGGCAATTCGACTCGGACGCCATTTACAATTGCAGATAGAATGTCTATGTGATTGACTGGAAGGGAAAGAAGCTCAGATTATGTCCGAACAATCCTTCGTTAATTGGGCCTGACAAACACCAAAATGCAGCTTATGTTATTTCTAGCAAACTTCTGTTACAGAATAAGCAAGATGTGAGATCAAGCTTGGCCCTAGTTGTTTCAGACAACCATCACGGTACAGGCTGCACGGAACACCCTGTGGAAATTCAAAGTCTCTTGAGAGAATTCCAAGACGTCTTACCGTCCGAATTGCCATCTACATTGCCTCCTATGCGTACCATACAGCATCAAATTGAGTTTGTTCCGGGTGCCACACTCCCCAATCTTCCACATTATCGCATGAGTCCAAAAGAATATTCAATACTGCAAGGAATCGTGGAAGAATTATTAGCTAAGCAACTGATCCAGCACAGTTTAAGCCCGTGTGCCGTGCCCGCTTTGATTGTGCCCAAGTAGGATGGACAGTGGCGGCTTTGTATTGATAGCAGAGCCATCAATAAGATCACGGTAAAATACCGTTTTCCGGTGCCACGTATTTCAGATTTGCTAGATCGTCTGTCAGGGGCCGCTATATTCTCTAAACTGGACCTTCGTAGCGGATACCACCAAATTCGCGTCCGACCTGGAGACGAGTGGAAAACAGCCTTCAAGACTCGCGACGGACTGTACGAGTGGAAGGTAATGCCGTTTGGGTTATGCAATGCACCATCTACTTTTATGCGACTAATGCATGAAGTTTTGAAACCTTTTCTTGGAAAAATTTGCGTCGCTTACTTCGACGACATTCTCGTCTTTAGTACTAACCTTACAGATCATGTAAAACATTTGGCCGAAATACTCCAGGCATTACGCCACCATAAGCTTTATCTCAATCTTCCCAAGTGTCAGTTCGCTTCTCCGAGTGTGCAGTTTTTGGGCTTCATCCTCTCCGCCAACGGAGTAGAAGTGGACAGCAAAAAGGTGGCTGCTATCCGCGACTGGCCAACACCAACCTCCCTGTTTGATATCAGGAGTTTTCATGGATTAGCCAATTTTTACAGACGTTTTATACGCGGATTCAGTATGATCGTTGCCCCGCTTACGGATTGTTTAAAATCCAGCACTTTCATGTGGACAGCAGCCCAACAGGAAAGTTTTGACGCCATCAAGCTTGCCCTGTGCTCCGCCCCTGTCCTGGCTCTTCCAAATTTTGATAAGCCTTTTCATGTAGACACTGATGCGTCAGCTGTTGGTATAGGGGCTGTTCTATCGCAGGAGACTAAGCCTATCGAATTCTTTAGCGAAAAGCTTAGTCCTACACGACAGAAGTGGTCTTCGTATGAGCAAGAATTGTATGCGGTTGTGCGAGCCTTGAAACAGTGGGAGCATTACTTACTCCACCAGGATTTTGTGCTATCCAGTGACAATCAAGCCCTCCAATACCTTAACAATCAGAAAAACATCAATCGTATGCATGCCCGTTGGATCGTTTTTCTCCAAAAGTTCACATTTGTTCTTCAACACAAGGAGGGGCGACTCAATAGAGTAGCCGATGCTTTAAGTAGAAGGGCTGCCATGCTTGTTAAACTGCAAACGGAGGTTACAGGATTGCAGGAAATGAAACCCCTCTACGCCACGGATCCTGATTTTTCAAGCTTCTGGACACAATGTGCAAATGGTATTCCTGCTGCTGATTTCAGCATACGACATGGCTTCTTGTTTAAAGGGAATTGTCTATGTATTCCCAACTCATCGTGGCGTCAACAGCTTATTAAAGAAACTCACTCCGGTGGACTGGCCGCGCATGTCGGGCGTGATAAAACACTAGCACAACTGCAAGTTCGATTCTATTGGCCGCGGATTGCTCGCGACGTAGCTAAATTCGTCGAGAGGTGTTCTGTCTGTCAGTCTTACAAGGGCATAGCACAAAATACGGGACTATATATGCCACTTCCCACCCCCGACTCCATCTGGGAAGACCTAAGCATTGACTTCGTTCTCGGCCTCCCAAGAACGAAAAATGGCGTGGATTCAATTATGGTCGTCGTCGACCGATTTTCAAAAATGGCTCACTTCGTGCCATGTAAGAAGACCTTTGATGCTGTTAACGTCGCCCGCCTATTTTTCAAAGAAATTGTGCGCTTACATGGGCTGCCCCGTAGTATCACCTCCGACCG